AAAAGTATTCATGATTTATCGTTCGTATAATGCGCAGACCGAAATATACCATACGAGAGGAACGTACAGGATACACGGTCCTGATGTGGCTTGTAAATCAAAAAATTCACAGAGAAGGATGTCGGTAGTTATAAATGCGTCTCAACGAATAGTTTAGGCAAGGCAGACGGAACTTTAAGATTATACGGTAAGTTTGCGCGTATGTGTCTACGGTCTCATGCGCTTTCAGTTATAATATATGCATCGAGACTCTTAAATCTACATCGGTATCCACTTTCAGAGATTAAAATCGGTATCGAAAAAAAACCGCATTCAAAAGGGATTATTCTCGGTGGTGAGTAGAAAAGATTATTTTCGCGAATATATTATTGATTTGATTATCACAATATAATTTCGCAATTATGTTCAAGCAAATTCGATTCTGCTTTCAAAGAATTTCGCTATTTTCTCAATGAAAAGATATAATTTTTTTAGGATTAGCCGAGGCCGCTCAAAGTTCCGGCGCCAGCAGCGGAGCTTTCTCCAGAAATTGTCGCAGCTTGTGGCACGCCCTATCGATGTTTTTCATCGTACTTTGGCCACGGTGAAGAAGGCATTCACTATTGGTCACCGCTAAGCTACTTAGTGCCGGATGACTTTGTGCCAAAAAAAAAAACAAGAATGTAGCGAACGAATGTGCGAATGTGAGAGACATCATGTTAGAAGTCTGGCAACGATAGCAAGAGTGCGAGAGAAAAAGAGAGAAAAAGAATAAATGAATGAGAGAGAGAAGAGAGGAGAGAAAGAAAGAAAGAGAGATGGAGAGAAAGAGAAAAAGAGAGAATGAGAACAAGATAATAAATCGGAGTCTTCGGTACTCCAAATTCTTCCTACTTTCCTTTCCTACTCCCGAGTGTCGAAGACATTTTTAGATCAATGAATGTTGTCAATGTAACGCGTTGCTTTAGATTCGCGCTTCGCGGACCGACCGAGTAAAGCTTGATTCGCACCACTTGCCCAGCCGACATCGGAAAACGGGCCAGCAATAGACGGATCTATACAGCGCAGAAATATTTCATTGTGAATTTGCAAATACATGCAGAATTGGAACGACGTTAAAATGTCTGCCTTTTAAATAAAGTGAGAGTCAAGCTTAAACCGTCGTTATGTGGATCGACGAATTCGACAGGGAGGGGTTCGCCATCGCGGGGTTGCTTAACGAATCGACGATAATAATTAACGGTCGTTTTGTCATTGGTTTTTGCGCTGCTGATTGACTTTCGACGTCGGAAAACTTTGATGTTTCGAAATAAAAGTAAGGATCGAATGTTGTACTTTGCCTCGCGTTTTGTCATTTCAACCTATTTTAATATTTAATATGAGTCTAATGTTACTATAATTATCTTTTTCTACGTTATCCAACGAAATATTCTTATATAGCGAGACTTATTTTTAACGATGAAATACGAGGTAAGTATTATTATTTAATTAATAACAAAGCTCATGAATATCAATATCATCGATTGGTCTGGTAAAATACTAAATTTTTTTCTACAATAAATTTATGTAATTCTCGCAACGTAATAACGATGGAAATTATTAAAATGATATAACATACAAAATATAACATGAAAATTAACTGCTATTACCAATGCAGTCTCATTAATTCAAATTGCAATTTGTATTATGATATCTTATTGCAATGTCTGCCCACGAGGTGGCACCATTTCCCAGCATCTTGTAAAAATTATAATCTGCGTTCTCATTACTAATTGTAAGTCAATTTATATGCAAGACCTAATAAACAAAGAAATCTATCAAACAAAGAAATAGATACAGACATGTTAGTAGATAACATATTGATCTCTGTGAGTGATTTTTTTAATTCTCAAATGAACTACTGATAATTAAATACTACTAGCATTAGTAACTATTATTCTATTAAAATTTTATAAATTAGAATAATTATATGTATATAATACATTATTTGATAAAAACAAAGAATAAATAAATAAAGAAAATATTATAATTCAAAATAATTATATTCATATAAAGATGAAAAGAAAGATACTGGTTTCAGATACAGAAATATCAGAACTTATTTTTTTACATTGTCCACTAAAATAAATACAAAATTATCAAAAGCAAATAAAAAACGTTACTGTTAATAATGAAAATGCAGAAAATAATATCAGTACAACTAATTATAAAATGACAAAATGCACATATCTGGCTGATAATTTTCATTAGTTGCAATTTCACTACACTTTGGTAAGAAAATGTGTAAGAGGTTTCATTTAAATTTTAATACAACTTCAGAGTAATAAATTACATACATAACAAATGTAAAATTTTAAAATTTATATTGCTAAATCAAGAAAATGTTTCATACTTTATTATTTATTTGTAAAAATGCAAATTGCAGATGAGAATTGTTAAACTGTGGTTCTTACTAATTATAGTAAATATTCGCAAATGAAAAAACAACAGATGATATTTTGTGTAATTATTGTGTAAATATATGCAAATGAATTCACTCACCAATCGTTGCACCCCAGCTAAGTATAGCTTCAGCTGTACCTGGAAAAATTAATATGTATATTTTAGTTATTATAAATCGTAGATCATATATCATAGATTTTAGTTATTATATATATATAACTAATATATATATATATATATTAGTTATTATAAATCGTAAATCACACATATCGTAAATCATAGATTTTATAAATAATTATTATTATTTATTTGCGCTTTTATTAAAACATAACCTAATGCATGAATACTATAAATTATTTAAAATCTCAAATAAAAATTTGATAAATAGTTTAATAAATATCTCAAAAAGTATTTAATAAATATTTCAAAAATACAAATTGTGTAATTGTGAATATATGTATATGTATGTGTTATTACAAAACCCTGAACAAACAAATCTATCAAAGTAAATTTTTCAAAATATTTGTTACAAATTTTGTCGACAGAATATCAGTTAAAATTTGTCAAGATCTATTAACAAAATATAATGGCAGATTAGCAGTAAAAATCAAGCAGAATCTGTTGCTTGGTTATGATTAACAAGTTTTGCCAATAAAACGATAAACCGATAAGCATAATGCGAACACAATTAATACCAATCAGCTACAATAATTGCTCAAATTTGCTATTTATCGGTTCATTATTAATATTTTACTTGCTAGAATAATATACAGATTTCAATAATAAATAAATAATTCAACTCACCAGCCAAGGTGTTGCAGTTTGCTCCAGCCGTTGTAAATTTCATCTTAAACTGCTTCGTAACTCTGCAACTCCATCGTAGATCAAGGAGTTCGAAACGAACAGCACTTTCCAATGGATAACTCTACACTGTACTTATTATCAAAATAAACAAAACGAACGACTATGGCGCTCGCGACAATTCGCGGAATTCGGTCCTCGCGACAATTCGCGGAATTCGGTCCTCGCGGCAATTCGTGGAATCCGGCACAAACACATACCTGCGTAAATGTAATAACGTTAAACCCGGTCTAATTCCGATGTAATGAATTTTCAGCATGTTATATTTGATAAAAATATGCCGCGTTTTGATCCTTGTGAGAGAATGTAAGAATTATTATATCTATAACATAGAAATTTATGCTAGCTTAGGGGGCTTGGCCATCTGTGTTACCTGTTTGAATTTGTAACCGATCAACGACACGCGTATATCACGAATATCCGCGGTAATCGTACGTTCCGACAATCGTCCGCCACTTTAATCGACACTCCCGATAAAATTTACAACCGTTATGCACTTTTAGTACGGATAAAGAATACGGACTATAGAATTTTTGCAAAACGCAACTAGTCGCAGAATGTTCGCGGTCTACGTTTCGGAGTTTGCTTCAAGCTGGGAGCAACTGTGAGAAAGAGAGGAAACTCACTCGTCAGTAACATCATACGCTCCCTCTATTGAACGCCAAATAATATCTGCAAGTACAGTGCATATCGACAAATCGTCGGTACACAATGGTAAATAAGTCGGTAGCACAAATATGAACCAAATATTAATGGTTATCGACAATAAAAATAATGAATATATTCAATTTATAAAATAAATATCCATGAAATGAAAAATTATTTTATTTTTCTTAGAAAAGGTTTGATATCAGAAACTGATGCTAATAAAGGAATGAAATCTTATGTGTACAATTTTTCATTTTTTAGTTGGCGCCCGTTTCTGTTATTTTATCATACTTTTTGTAAGAAATGTAAAATAGTACTTTTTATTTCTTTAATAATAAAGTATGCATTAACACACAACAATGTTATTACAATTTTAATTATTGGTATTACAATTTTGACTTGAAAATTACACAGTGAAAAATAAATATGCAGTACGCATAAAAAAAATAATACGATATGATACGACAAAAGATACGATATTAATGTTCGTCAAAATTAAAATTTGAAACGCGAACAAAATATATATATTGTAACATATGAAATATTATCGTATCGCGTGTTAAAGAATTTCCGTCTTTGGAATTTACCTTCGGCGTACGCGAGCTGTTGTTTGTTTACGCATTCCATTCTTACGTTATCTCTTTCTATCCTGCTACGTATGTCGACGCGTTACCCTGTATTAAGAATCCCCTTCTCACCAACCCCTTTCACGCAAGCGCGTGTTATGTTTCAGATCTACGCTATATCCTTGAAGTGCCTTACTAGTTTATCAGTCGCACGGCGACACTCGTACGGGTTAGTCGGTCAGTCTTCATCCGCAGGGTTATCTTCCCCCTCCCCCTACCCTTACTATCCCTCAGTTTTCCACCCCCCCCTTTTTCCATTATTACCTGTTGCGTATACGGCAGAGTGTCGAACGCGTATTTCGTGCGACAAGCGATATTCGAGTTTTACTTTTGTTCTCACAGGACGAAATACGCGACGGAAGTGTCGTAAAATATCCGTGTGACCGTCGTAATAAAATTCGCATCAAAATTATCGTTTAAAACATTGCATTAATATCACGCAATTTTCATATTTGCATTGCGGAATGCGCACGAGATTCATGCGTAACGTCGCATTTGGACTTTTCAATTAAATTTGCTAGCGATGTCGGGAGTGTCGTTTCAAGGGTCGCGCGGTTCTCGTATTCGCGTCGCGATCGCGTGTGGGTGCTTTGGAGACCCGAGAGGACTGAGAGGAGGACGAGACTCGGGAAGAGTTTCGGGCACCGGCGGAGCAACGCTTAGGTAATTATTCATTTACTTTGTTACTATAAAATGTTATATAATGTAGCGCATATAAAACATTTTCTTTGCTTCGCGCTTGGAGCGCGCCAGCCACTTTCAGCGTAGGGGCGCTTAAGACGGTCGCAACGCCCCCGCATTTATTATTTATTATTTGCAAAATGTTATACACAAAATATTAAAAATATTCAATAAACTATTCAATAAAATATTTGCAATATTTAATATTCATATTTAATTATTAAAAATTGTTTACATATTTATTATTTTTCAAATAATTAAACCTCTTTTCATAATTCTTTTCGATATTGCTTAAATAATCGAATCATAAGTTCAATATATGCAATTATAATTTCACAAATATTAATTATTTTGAATATTCTCTAATTTTGATTTATTTTCGTATTTTACAGATCAACAAAACGACAACTCCGCTGCTGCGCATCGACCGGTGAGTTAGTCCAATTTGTCTTTTTCTTTTTGTTAAAATAATGAATCAAACAATGTAAAAAATGTACTCTCAAAACACTTTGCAGACCATATAATTTTCATTGCTCATGTTAATTATATAAAAATTTTATTCTCACGTATTTTTTAAAAATATTTTACGTTGCATTCATTTTCGAAAGAACAAAGTATTTATTATTTTGAAGAATTTAAATTGAATTTTGTTATCATCAAATTTATTATATATATTTATAATATATATGTTATATTAGATTATATACTAGACAAAAAAGAAGTACCTTGTAAAATGCATTGCACACTAAAAAAGAGCAAAGTGTTTATTTTTATTCGTATAAATTAAATTTGTTTTGAAAAATTTTAATTAAATTAAGAATATTGAATATTGATTTAAAGGTCTATTAGACTGCTGAAAGTTATTGCGTTTTTATGTAAAATCCTTAGTGTTTAAAGTTTTCATCTAAATTACGGTTACGCATATATCTCGCATATCTATTATTCTGTTACTTGTTCACGTAATGTCTTTTTCGTGTGTCGCGTATTGTCGTTGTTCGTCTATTGTCTCTGTTGCTTGTAACTAACAATGTTCTTAAATATTATTTGTCTGCGTGTCTGTATGTCATCCGTTGCTTATCTCTTTAACTTCTTGAGTTGTGATAGGTGGGAAAAAAATAGGTGTGAGAGAGATATATTTGTAACCGAAACATTTATTTTTGGACAAAAAAAAAACACATTATTCAATATATATATTTGAACACGAATTACTTACATCAGCCGAATAATTTTTTGAATCAATATTGTGAGTTAATTAAAACTCAGAGATTATAAATAAATCAATAGTAAGTAGAATATTAAAAGTATAATCATATGGAAAAATGTTTAAAATGAAACTAAAAGCATTTCTTCGATTCATTATTTTAAAATGGATAGACTAGGATTTAGATTAGTTGTTCATAATTTAACCCTGGAATATGTGCACATTATGATGCACATATAAAATTATAAATTAAAGCGTACATTGCACGCCAAGAAGGCTATACGTACGCCAAATTTTAATATGAAAACCATGAAAATATTAATTTTAATATGATACATATTATTATTCATTATTATTATTTATATAATAGTTTAAATATTTATTTTTAATTAATAAAATTTTCAAGTTTATTGTATAGATGATACTATAAATATACAAAGAGAAAGAAAAAGAAATGAAATAAATCTGTAGAATATTTAAATTCTTATATAGTAGTATATAATTTTTAATGAAATATCAATATTCTACACAAGATTTTACTTAAATTTTTATTTATAATTTTTCATGGTATTCATATTCCTAATAAAGGACATATGTACTTTATTTATTTATTTATGAATCAGATCAAGATATATTGGGTTATTCGTAAGATTTGTAGGATTATTTAGAACAAAATCAAAAACAATCTTTATGTGTTTATATGACGATATTTATTCACTAATGTATGCATTGTTGTTAAAGATAACTAAAGTTTGTCGAAAACAAACGATGCATACATTATTGAATAGAAGAGGAACCTAAACATATAGAAATTGCTTTTAATTTTATTATAAAAATTACTGTGTGAACTCTTCGAATAACTTAATATATTTTAACTTGATTAACTCGATTGATGTATTTAACTGTATTTTTACAAATTTATTCAAATTTGTAAAAATATTTTTTTATATATATGTGAGGAAATATATGAAAAAAAAATGAAATAAAATAATATAATAATAATCTCGAGCAATATATTTTTTTTACCTGTCTCTATACATAAGAAAAAAATAAGATTTCCTTCTTCCTTTTCCGTAAACAAGGTAAGCAATTTGCATTTTTATATCCAGGGTTAAATTTTGTTTAAATTGGCGTAAAAAAGCAAGTCAGAGAAATTCAAAATACATATATATGTATCGCAAATAAGTATAAATTAAAAGTAAAAAGCATATGTTTTGCACAAACATAATTTAAGAATTAAAATCATATTTGAATCATATTTGAAATAATTTATTTAATAAATGACGCATTTACAGTTAACCATTACTAAATATATATGAATTTTTGCTATACGCCAATTTCCTCGTAATCTTTCCTAGCTTATCCATGCATCCGTGGTCCCATGGCTTAATTGATCCCATGGTTGAGCACGGAAATTCGAAATTCGTGGTCCCATCGATGATGGTCGAGCACGGATCTCGAAACAATGTTGATATGATCGACCATTGAATAATGGTCGACTATCAACACAAATTTCGGACGCAGCGGAAACTGAGCCGAGCTCTGCGCTAGCGTCCTGCGAGAAATACCGAGACAGTCAATCTCGGATTTTGGATGCAACTAGCGGTAACTGAGCTGAGCTCTGCGCTAAGCATCCCACGAAAAATTCCCAAACAATCGCGCGTAAAAATCCCTCTCGAATTCCAGATGCAAATAGCGGCAACTGAGCCGAGCTCTGCGCTAAGCATCCTGCGAAAAATCCCCAAACAGTTCCGCGAAAAATTCTGAAACGTTCGCGCAAGTTTCCTCAAATTTCATTTTTTTTTTCTTTTTTTTTAGAAATCTAATTTGCACACACTAGTGCATAGATATTTCTTATTAGGTAGAATTTTTGATTAGGTAGGATTTTCTGTTAGGTAGAATTTCCAGTTAGGTAGGATTTTAAAACTTTTTACAAATTTTCTATATTCTTTCTAATTCTTTGCGTCAACAAACTCTGAAACTTCTGCTTTGGCAATTAGTTTGCAGTTTGTTGATGATAAAGATAACAACAAAACTTCGGGTGGGCAAACAGCAAGATTCTCTTCCTAAAAACGGAAGATGTTTCTTGCGCAAATTATAAAAAACTTTGGACGTTTAAATGTTTAGATTAATAATTTTCACTGTCTAAATATTTATATTTTCTTAATTATTCATAAAACTTTTAAACGTTTAAACGATTTTATTTACATATTATTTCTATTTTATATTATTTTGTATATTATTTCGATGTAATAATATATTGTTAAGAATTGTAATAAGATAAATGTCCTAGTGGTTATGTCTCAATCCTCGATCATATATGAATAAAATAATTTTTTAATATTCATAAATATAAATATAATGTCCGAAAACTAGTATATTTGCATATCCAATTATTTTAACAAATGTTGAATTGACTATCTTTGTTTAATAAGTGCAATTTTGGATTTAAATTTCTGTGAAATAAATTTTATTACACGTATATACTGAAAGATGAGTAAACTATTATAGTTTGCTCAAACTATTAACTATTATACTTTGATAGAAGAAATTATATCTTCTGTAATAATTAATTCTCTTGTTTGATCATTGCGACATTTATCTTACACGTTTTAAATTTGTCAAATTTTCCATTGTAATAATATATTGTAATAAAATTCTATTGTATTTATAATATATTGTATATATTGTGTATATTGTAATTGTATTAATATATTGTAATGTGTATATTGTAATTATATATTACTATATTGTGTAATAAATATTGTATGATTATATACGTGACGCATTTTCTTAATTTCATATCCTTCCTTAATTTCATATTTTACACTATTTTACTATATTGTATTTGACTTCATTAAAATACTTATCTGATATTAATTCACCGTAATAATTGAACTCAAAATTACAATCGTAATTATTTTATCACCTAACCTAATTAATCGTAAACACGATTCAAACAATAAAGAATTATTAGTATTTTTAACTATTAATTACTTACTTGCTCGCCAAGCATGTTTTTAAATCAGAAATGTTTTGCTGTCCAGTTAAAAATATTGCCAAAAATTTCTGAATCACAAATATTTTGATAATGATTCTAATTGAAAATACATTAAAAATATCACCGGCGTAAGAAGTTTCTAATCAGTTTAAATCAATCTGCGCTATATTCACGCCATCTGACGAGAAAGTGAGAAAAATAATCCTACTGATGGATTATTATATAAATTATAAAGTACTTGAAATATTAAGAACAAGATTCACATAAAGATCTCATATTGTAATAATTTCATTTTTTATATTTTTGAAAGCTTTATATATATAAAATATTAAAAATATTATCAGCTGAGAGCGCGGCTAGCACATCAGCTGTGGGCACCACCAGTCTTGTGTCGAAAAGATCAGCTGCACGGACACAATAGTCTATCACAGTCTATGGTACGTAAAGTGAAATATAACCTAGATCTCTTTTCTTAATAACAAACAATTTGGTATTGTTATTAACCATTAATTGTTGTTGACGAATAATCAGTAAATGGTAAAAAATGGTGTGCTTTTTTTTTATATAGAAATCTTGAACAAATTAATTTAATTAAATGCTATTTTTGCTATTTTTGCGGCAACAAGTTGCGAATTTCTAATCTGTATATTGCAAAGGTTATTATAGATTTTTGATATTTTTGCAGTATATCAATGCTATAATTATGATTGTTACACATTGTAAAAATTATAATATGATCTAATAATAGTAATAATATGTTGTAATTTACGTTGCATTGTATATAAAATACAAAGCTCTTTAGTCAAATAAATATCTTTATTGTTATCTAATTTCATGTATAAATTTTTGACAGCATGTATGACTGTGTCAATGGCAGAATCTGGAAACGCAAACACATTAGAATGGACGCGTCCCGATCAAGTGATGCAATTACACCGTATGAAATTGAAGAAACGTGCACTTCAAGCACGTATAAATAAAACAAATATTGATAAGAATGACGTTCAACATATAGATACAAATTTAGATAGATTTAATAGTAGTAACAGTGCATTGCGGCCTGTATCTCAGAAACGAAAGAACCCTTTTGCAATTAATGAATCATGCAAAAAACAAAAGGATATAACACCAACTGGATTGGAGATCAGTAATGACAACACATTATTTGAATTATTAAATATCGATGTTCAACAAAAGAAACAGACAACAGATTCATCTACAGACAAATCTTTGAGTTTCGCTAACGTTCTTTCGAAATTAGAATCAATTAATCAGACTCCTGATGCACATATTTCAAAGGGTTCAAAACATATTCCTATAGATTGGACTTTAAAAACTAAAATGAGATTTATGTCTTTAAAACCTTTTCCATGGAATGGCAAACTTAAAACAAGCGAAGAGGCGTCAGGTACTACAGGATTTGTTAGATGTCTGAATATTGGAGAAAAGGAGACAACTTTGGATACTAGTCCTAATGCAAGGTTAGTCTTGTTAAGCTTTGCTTAATTTTGGTTTTATAATTTTCTATTCCATGATACACTAGTGATTCTTGTTAAATATTTTTTAGGTTTCATCAATGTTGCTTGATATGGCAGCATCCATCTCTACCCTGGTTAGAATTATTCCCTCGCTCTGCTGGCAAAGTGAGCACTAATCTCGCAAGTAATACAGCGATAGCAAATAATTCGTGTATAAAAGACGCATTGTACAGAGAATGGTGCGACAGTTTCAGATCCTTATTTCATTTATTGAGAGCAAGACAATGTCCGTACTTTTATATGTGCGCAAATACATTTACAGTGCTCTTTCGTGCTGCTGGTATCTGTGGGTTGTCAGAGATTCATGCTCTTCTCACACCTACAACACGTGGATTCCGTCAGTCATTAAGGCAAGAAGGTAAATAATTCTCTTTTATTCATCTATCTATTAGTAGGAAAAGTTTTAATATAGATAACATGAAATAATATAAATTTCTCTTGACATCTTTCAGAAATAGAATATTCTATGCCATTAAGAAAGGATTCTAAAAGACGATCCGACCCAGCAGATTTCGATTCTAACACTGTAGATACTACATCTCATGCAGAAACAGCGGATCGTCGCCAAGAGGGTGACGAAGACGAAGAAGACGAAGATGAAATGCAAGACGCATGGCTTGAAAGCCTAGGAATAGACAATTCGGAAATTCGAAAAATTAATCACTCGCAAGTATGTCCAATAATTCTAATAAATATCATAGGTTGTCGATTTATACTAATACTATGTTTTGTTTCAGGCGAGAATGACTTTAGAGAAGGAAAGCGAAATAGATAATTTGAAGCAATCCCTCGTGTTTGTAAAAGGTGTGGAGACGCAGGCATTATTTAACTTTCTAATTAATTGTAAATCAGCCATTGCTGTGACCGGCGCGTTAGCCGGCGTACCGCCTACACTTTTGGCGCCGACAGCTTTTCATGGCGCTACGTTAAAACCACTTAAGGTATCGCATAATTAGCAGAATATAACTTTATAGTTGTTTTCATTGTATTATGTATTAATTATATTATTCACGATTGTAATTTCTTTTTATGGCGAAGGTCCGAGAAAATGTAGTACGTGTTGATAACGACAAATATTTCTCTCTCGAATTAAATGGACCACTTTTGCCGCACGTGCTACCTTCTCTCTGTTATTTAATGAAATCTAGTCAATTGGAACAGTATTCGGCAAGCTGCGCACAATTAACGTCAACAATACCGTTTTCCGTGGCGAAGCACGGCACGGGTAAGTGGATGCATTGGTGCATCAAGCATCATGATATTCTACAGACAAAGTAACAAATAATATTTGCGCTATTATAGGCCAAGCAAATTTCACGAAAGGAGAAGACTGCAATGCCACCAAAGTACCACTAAACGTGTTTGGACAAGAAAATCTAAGCGATTGTGGTTTCAATGAAGAATTATTGAGCCATTTTTGCAGTTCTGATCCGGCTAGAATAGAAATCTTAGAAAGTTTTAAGTTTTTTAACGGATTATACACGTGGTCGTGATCATTTATGAATCAATTTAGTAAGTAAGCTTTACTTGTACAGATTTGTATTTATAAGATTTAATTAATAAAAAAATCAGCCGGCATTTTGTCCTAAGCATTAGGACAATGTTGGATCGCTGACGACACGTAATGCTCAGTAATGAATAATCGTTACACTTTTAAGAATTTCAAAAAACGATATATAATTATATAATTAATATATATGAAAATCGCCGGTATAAAATTTATTTTTATTAACGTATAATTTAACGCAAAATGCATATAATATTACAAGACGACTGAATATTATCGATATCTGATAAAAATGCTTTCACTGAAACCGACGTAACAGTACGCTTGTCCTGACGAAAATGTTCTACATCACAACAAAATCGATGTTGTATTTAAATATCACGCAATGTATTGATCTCTTCCTTCTTTTGCAATATTATTATATTTGTGGAAAAATAAAATTTATTTTTATTATACTTATAACGTATTGCGCTTAGAAAAAAAAAGTAAATAAAAAGTAAAGAAAAGGGGTGGCCGTAGTTATATTAAAACAAGTTGATTCTTCGATTCAACCGTGATTGTGCTTTCAATATAATGAATAATTCTATTATAATTAGCTCAATAGAAAATTTACCTTTTCAGGATAAATGCGCGATATCATCATTAAGAAGAATTATTCAAGAACCCGGGAATGAAGTAGGTGGGGTCCATACAGCGGATGGACTGCCCCTAAAAATAACGAATCGATATTTGCCCGCTGCCCCCAAATCAGTCGCCGGACTCGCTGGACTGCTAGGTCACACCGTAAGAGACACATAATACGAAAAATCAATTCATTTATAACATCGAGACGTGTTCCCTGCACGGGTACACTTGGCGAATCATGCAACTTGCGTCGCACTTAGATCGCTCCAACAATTGCATCGTAAATGGTATAAATCGTTCGCTGTAACTCGCTAATGACTCGAAGATCGTTAAAGAAATGTCGCCACGGCGACATCGACAAACATCGGGATGCGTTTGCTACGACGCGCATCGGAGAATGCATACATGGCAGTTGTCGGGCACAGTTGCAAATGTACGCGTAACCGTTTACGTATGAGAATTACGTCAGTGCTCGTCGTATTGCGACGCTATGCCGAGCGGTTTCACGTTCCAAGGTCTTCCGAACGGCTCAAATTTTCGAGCGACATAATCATTGCGTTTTTTCAGTTGTTACTTCCGTTATCAAATTTTACTTTTCCCTCTTTAATTTTTCACAGCGGATATCTTATCGCTCACAATGTAAATAGAATTTTGAAACTGCTAATAAGAATACGCCTATATTTAATTTAGGTGATATTTCAAACACGGTGACGCTAATTAATTAGTTTATTTTTTTGTCGATCTTTTTTTATAAAGGAACATCTATAACTTTTCAAAGCGTATTTATATATTATGCTTAAATATCTTGCCCTTTAATTTATATCACTTGTGCTGCATAATTGAAATATCGATAGCTATCTATACATATTAAGATATTATATTGAATTATGTGCAAATTCGACTACCCTTTAAACGCTATCACTATATCATGCAAGGAATAATGAAAAATAAAATCTCGACCTCGTCGCTGAAAATAAAAGAGAGGAGTGTTGTTCTCGCCTGGCGAAAGGCAACCCCTCGTATAGGCGAGGATTCAGGGTGGATAAAGTCGCTGGGTACGCCGCGCCGCGACGCGCCGGGCGTTGGTAAGGCACCCGCGACGCGAAGCGAAGCAAAGGGGGCCGTACAAGGGGGGAGAGAGCATCGTCGTGGCGTGCGGGAGCGAGACATATGACCGGAGAGACTATCCCGATTTGGAGGGACAAAGACGAACGATGTGAAATCGGGGCTCGGCCGAGAGGGAGAAAAAGAGGGAAAACCCAGGAAGGGAGAGGGAGAAGGGAAAGAGAGGGAGCGAGAGGGAGAGAGACGATGACTCTCCCTGTGGCACGCCACATGTATGCGTGCGCGTGTGCGTGCGCGGGGGGTTTCGAGAGGCCGGCACACGACGGACGACGACGTCGACGATGTACACGACTACCACGACACCGCGTGGGGGTTGCACGAAGACCCCCTGGTGGGGTTCTGGCTGCCGCCGCCGACCCTACAGTCCCCCGCTGGAAATGATATCAGTCGCGACTCAGTCGAGGGAGCCCCAGCACGTCGTTACGTCGTGCACCGTCGTGCCCCTCGTACAGTAGTCTCTTTCGATACGCATTCCGCCCCTCCAGCGAATAATATCGCGCATCATCGCTATCGTCTCGTCAGGCCGCAACCAGCTGCACGTTAAACATCTACGAGGCCTATCGGGGTATCCGGGGACGGTCTACATCGGCTACATTGGAGCATATCGGAGCAAAGTATCCGGGGTAGTTGAGGACGGGTCTCAATCTCACGATCGAGATCGCGATCTCTCGGGTTGGACGAAGTCGTGACCTCGATGCGAATAATACGTGGCAAAGGTAAGGCCGCGCCTTCGCTCTCGTCTTGATCGCGTTCCCCCGGAGCGTGTTTTCCGAGCCGCGACGTCGACATCGAGAAGCGGATATTAATAGAGCTTGGCGAGGCGCACCGGGGCACCGGCGCGGCGCGAGGCGACGCGGCGGCGGGCGGCAAGTGCGATGCGCGCGCGACGTCGAGCGTCTTCTCGCGACTTTGTTTCGTTCTGTTTACGCGCTGAACGCGCGCGATCTCGCGCATTCCTGAACCCGGTAGTCACGTGCAAACCTCGTTTCTGCTTTTTGTTCGCTTGTTTATTCGCCCCCTCGTCTCCTTATATATCGCGAGTACGTAAGTCGCGTTTGAATGACGCGCTACCAGTGCGCCTACAGCAGACAGCATCTCATTATTTTTGTTCTTTAATTTATATCTCCTTTGATCAATCGCCGCTTTCATAATTACGATACCGATTACGTGTGCCCGCGTCACGCGAGTTGTGCGAAATCGACAGAAATGCTCGTGACTCAAGGTCCCTTTGACTCATCGAAATGCAGCAATTAACGCGAAATTCGAATTATCTGCGAATGCTAGACGATCGGTATACAAATCAACCTATATCTGTAACAAAACGCCCGACCACATGTGATTCTCTCGCGTCATTAAGCAGAATGTAAAGACGCGTATTTCGCATTTCTTCGCATTTTGCGTTTTTTTTTCACTCGAGCGAAAATTCCATCTGTTTCGGAGAATAACAACGTTAAATACCAAAAGAATCATTCGTTTGTCACGCTGCCGAATTCGATGAATCCTCACCGATTTTCACTTCGAAATGGCACGATTTATTTCGCTAAGTCACACCCATTAATCCTCGCGAATTTCTTTCCGGTTACAGTAGCTATAACAAAAAAGATGGGAAAAGGGTGCGTTTGGCCCATTCCCACGCGGAACAGGAATCCCTTGGAAATGCGTGGGGGGGTCCACCAACAAAATTATGGATCGAGGCAACGCGAGGGTTCACGTCTGCGCAGGACTATCGTCGGGTTATCCCAGCCGTTGTATACGCATACACGCACACGCGAAACACGGTCGTGTAAGCTCTCTCTCCTGGAGAATTTCTTTCAAGAGATCTCCTTCTCGCGCGAGTTTACCAATAACGCTGATGCTCGGAATACGAGAATATTTGTTCGCTCCGTGAATGTAATTCTGCGACGATCGTTCCGAAGGAATAATAATCACAGGGGCACGTATGTTTACGATAGCAAGAATCGGAAATGAGTTGGTTGGTTCGCGAGCACGAAACCGATAATACGGGATAAAAAATGTCCTTTCAAGATGAGAGAGCGCGATAATATTTGCATTCGCGTTTAGAGTTAATAGCTGTTGAGTCATCGTTGTTTAATGATCAAACGGTTGTAAGTAATGAGCTGTTTTACGATGCACAGTCGATTACGGGACACCGTGTATTACTGGACGTATCTCCGTGTACGAGATTACAATAATTGTGCGGAACGTGTCAATTAAAACGACATGATGGGCCGCGCCGCTCCGCCACGCGACCACGCACGATGCGATTATCACTTATGATGCAACGATTACGGATTGCGGAAAGCAATACATCAATATTCCGCTAATATGACTAATAAGCGTCTTGTACGATAAATCCGACAAATTTTCTGCGCATCATTTACACACAATTCACAGGCGATACTCGATCAAGAAATTTTCCCACCCGATTGCGATTATATGCATGCGTCAGGAAATATTTTAGCATACAGTTTGCAAAGCGTGCGATTCTAAATCTAGATTTGTGCAGTCCTTGTAAATCCTCCATGGCGCATCTGCGCCGCTAAGCACGCACAACAGTAGATGTGATTGTTTTTGCTAACGCATCGATTTAAGTATTAAGAACAGAACAATTGTAATTAATGTCACGATGAATATCGCAGTATTTAATTATTGAGAATTTAAGATTGATTTTCAGTTCTAAAAGTTCCTCAAAATATTTCCTGGTATGCACAAACATGTGTTAAATGTATATGTTTGTCTTACTGTGCATTGCATAATTCTTGTACTTCGTATTTTAGGGACTCGATAATACTTGATAAAAATATGGGCGAGAAAACGTTCAATCTTACTTGGAATAATCATCTGGCGAATCTGTCGGGTTTGTTTGAGGCTCTTTACAAAAGCGGTTCCTTGACGGACGCAACTTTAGCTTGCCAGGGTGGTATGCTGAGGGCTCATAGACTCGTCCTAGCAGCATGTAGCCCTTACTTCGAAAGAGTATTCAAAGAACACTATGGAGAGCAGCCCATTCTCATTTTGAAAGGTATGCATTACATCGATGACGCGCTTCGACAAAATATTTAAATGGATGCCTAAAACAGAAACTTTGCAAGTTTATCGGTGTTCTCTAAAAAACTGATTTTGCAAGTCAAATCGAAAAAATTAAAATTTCTTATGTGTACACCGAATATATAAAAAATACGTCATTCGTAATAATTTGCAATTCCCGATAATATCTTGCCAATTTTAATACTTTTATGTAATGAGATAAATGGATTGATAATGCTGAATTTTGTACAGAAAAGCATCGATACATCTAAATTATGTATAAATTTCTTTTAATGCAATTATATTTTTCCCTTACATCAATCATTCATCTTGTACCTGACACTTAGGCGTTGCCGTCGAAGAAATGGAATGCCTCCTGGACTTCATGTATAGAGGCTCTATTGACGTAGCCGAAGAGCATCTTCCTTCATTGATAAAAACTGCAACCGATCTGGAGATACGTGGTCTTTCTGGGGAACAGAAAAATCCGGAGAATAATCGTAATCTCTACACCAGAGTCGAGACGCGAATGCAACGGTGTCACATTGAAACCAGAGTACACACTACCGAATATATAAAGGAACCATCGGTGATTCCTTTCCTACCGAATCACTCGAACGTCGATTCGATGGACGATCATTTTAAAGTAGAAGAAATTGAGGTGGAGGACGATCCGATGGTAATCGATGGGCACGAGGACAGCTTTGACGAACTTCCGCGATCCACGGAAACGCAAATTGTAAGCTCGATAATACAAGCTTGCTGCATTTTAGCATTCTTTTACTTTGGATTGTTTGAATTAAATAAAAAGACAATTATGTCGAATTTAAATACATAATACATCAATTTTCAGAAGCGTATTCCACCTCCAATGTACAAGCGGGAAACTAGATTCAAAGGGCAAAAAAGAGTGGCCGTCGGTCGTGTGACGCGGAACAGCGATCCTCCGGAATCTAAGTCGAAGAATTCCTCACGCGAATCAAGCTACGAAGATTCCTCGAAAATCATCAAATACGAACCTAATTTCAACGATGGATCTATGGATGTCACTGTATCCGGCGTACAGGTGAACAAACTATTCATCATCTCTATGAAAAACATTCTATAGAAAACAAGAATTGGTTGGTAATACTTCTTCATTGTTGTAAAAAATTTTATCAATTATCATATGCACAGCAACAATCTTATTTAAAAAATATTAATTTTACTTCTTGAAAATTTATATTTTTGAGTTGAAGCAAATATGTGTACACACATGATAGCAAAGTTTAGAATATGCAATTATAATTTTACACAAATTTTTTTCTACGTATAAGCTCATATATCAAAGTCACCTTCTTTCCGGTATCTTGTCACATTTTCTTAGCTCACAATTACAAAGTGTTTTTAAAGCGGCACAATTCAAGATTTGTTCATTTGATTTAATAGGAAACTTCAAGTTTGGACGAACCAAAGTTAGGAATAAAGAGAGAACTCGAGGTTTTGAAGAGAACCGGAGGAAACGAGGGAAAAGAAACAAGGACCTTCAACAAATCCGATCGTGCACAGCATAAGCCTTTCTCGTGCGACCTTTGTACGTTGGCCTTCACAAGAGCGTCGCACTTAGCGAGGCACAGAAGGGTACATACAGGCGAGAGGCCCTTCGCCTGTAGCATCTGCCCGCGAATGTTCGCCAGACAAGACAAGCTGAAACAACATCTGGATTCGCACTTGCAATGGCCGAAAAGAAAAAGTAACCAGACAGTACCTTCGTTGCCGACAAAGAGCAAGCGCGGTAGACCGCGTAAGGTAATGAGCTAATAGAAGAATAATTGAAGAATTCAAATTCGCAATTTATTATACAAAAGTATACAACTAGCCTTTTTCGAAAGAAAGAGATAAAGCAGATGATAATTATCTATTTCAGGTTAATGTGGAGCAATCTGCAATGGAAGAGATTTTAAAATTCGGCGAGTTTAGCTCTCTACTAAACAAGTCACATTCAGCGAACTCAACGAATAAGAGTGACAGTTCTGATAACGCTAAGAATGACGATGAAAAGAAAGAAGCGCATCAAAGCGAGGACGAGTCGCTCAGGGAAAAGGATAACCGTGCTTGCCAGGTCGAAAATGGCCAGGACATCGTTTAATAGAATCTTCTTGTGCAATCTGGATTTAAATATTCGTAAGACATATTTTTCTACGCATTTGCGAGAACCGAAGATCGATGCAACACAAAGGAAGAAAACCTATCGAGCTTTTCCAAAAGATCATGGTATCCTTTTCCGGTTGATTCATAATAAGGCTTATAATATCTTCTCGTCCCGATTGCAAAAGTCAAGAGCACTCGCGTCGCTTTTATTGCGAATTGTTTAACGTAAGTACCTGAGATATACTAACGTTACTACCAAAGCGCACGAGCCTCCAAAGATCCAGTGGCGCGAATGAAGGAGTCGATTATTATCGGCGCATCGTCGGCCGATCGGTGTTATTGAACGATAAGATTAAATAAAGGGATACCTGCGCTATAAACCCGACCAAATAATATATACGCGTGAAGAATGCGGCTTGACTTTCACTGTAAACGATCCTGATCTAATGTATCACCTCTCGACATTAACTTACGATAATATTTGCAATGTAATTACCTGTAATATAGCGCGCACCATTTGTCAATCAGTAGCCATTTTAATTTAATGATAAAGGGTGCTTTTCAACAAAATATCGATTTGTGGGAGAGTTTTTATAGTCCGATTTTTATTCAAGATAGTTTAGAATATCTTAAATTCATCACAAATTAAAATAAAGATTGATTTTATGTTCAGTAATTAAAAATCTATATAACATTTTCAAATTATGTTAAAAATGATTTTTAATATAATATAATCGGACAATGAAAACCGTTTTTAAAGTTCGACTTATATCTTTTTATTGAAAAGCACCTTGCAGAGCAATGGATGCACTGACATTTGAAGTCGTATACTAACGGGCCGAATTTATATTTCAAGTGATGGCACCCGTGCTGCCTGCTATGCGAAATATTGCATGAACGATATTATCCTAACCTAAGATCTTGTGCGCTTCCTACGGGACGGAAAGAGAAAAAACGAGTAACATAATAGCGTGATAGCAATAGCGTATTACAGTTACCAACAGTCTTATACAGTGTGAGTCATGCCTATGTAGTAATATTTTGTCATACGCGCGACTATATACATCAAGTACAAATGTCCGAATGTTAGACTACGTGTACCGACATTCTGCCACGCAAACGGCATAAATTAGGGGTGTGCGAGTGCCGATGGATTACCGAAATGGGTATCTGACATTCGGCACGGGTGTCGAATTAAATCAAGATCGACTTGAAGCTTTGAGCATTTCAGCTTCTCGGCCTATCCGAAATTTTATCGAACTTCTTTAAAAGTAATTGAACAATTTTATCACACTTTTTTTTAAGAAATCACTTTTTAGATTGAGGTTAATCTGAACATAATTAAAATACATTTCTAAAATTCGAGCAACTGGTTATTTTCAGGGTAAGATCGAGAGTATACGGAAGGATGCAAAGAGCACAAAAGCTTTGAGTACTCGGGAAAACATTTGAGTCACCGAACTGATGATTAGACGAATCAAACTCGATGAGAGTAAATGGACCCGACTTGACTTTGTTCTTTGTGAGTACCCGCACATCCTTAGCATAAATGAACAGGCCTAGAGTTCTTTTAAGATTTATTCAGATTTAAGACGCATATAGCGTGTTTTTTTAAATAGATTTTACGATTTGTGCAATGCCATTAGTAATGCCGTTTATCGCGAACGTTCGCGGATTGATCCTAATTATAACTGCATTCGAGAACGTTCGTACGGCATGTGTCGAAAAATCGTGTGGTGTCTATATCTTTATAATTGGTTATAATTGTTGTATAATTGGTTGTTGTTGTGCAAATTGCATTCAGTTTTGTTAAATGGCTGTTGTTCGATATCACGGACATTGTTCAGCTGATCATGTCCACGATTATATCCTTTTCGCTGGCAACGTGCAATTTCTTTTCAGTGATAGTATATTCTGGTCGCTATCGAATAAGTGACGAGGTGCAAAAAGGTTCATATCTTACATTCTATGTAATGTGTAGCGCGTGTAAATAAATTTTTGAGTGAAAGAAAAAGAACCTTTACTGGTTTGTACCCATAAATATATTTATCATGCCCTCTCGAATTGAAAATGCAAGTACAGGAAGGAAACTAATTTCCAAAGATTATTGTATTCACTGACACACAGTATATTTTTACAAATATGTGTCCGGTTCTACATATGCGTTTGATTTGTTGATCGGCGGAGCAGAGATGAAAACAGGCGTTAGATTTTTCTTTCGCATCGCTCAATTAACACGTGGCCGTACACTGAAAATCTTGCCTTTTTCCCTTAAAGTATTGAGAAAAATAACGCCATTTACAGATAGGATCTACATGGATCGAACTCGCAACGTTTGCCGACTTTAACGCGAATACACGGACTATAAGAGAGCGGAGACACTCGCTCTTTTTCTTCCTTTTTTTCTTTTTCTCTCTTTTTTTTTAGAACAAAGCGGATTTTTCACATACAATACGCAACACCAAAAGCGTTTCGTTTCTTACGAGCTATTAATCACGAATTATCGAATTAGCTGCAGCGCATTTTACGATTTACATCGAGCGCGGAACGTCTATTGCGCGCAAGGCATCGCAACGAGATCCTTTTATCGCGTTTGTACTCACTCGGAAACGGGAATGGAAATCCTCACGTCGGTTATGCTAATCATCTTAAACAAATAGATATATCTGTGCAAATCGCAATATCGATTCGTGGGTGTAAGGTCAGGCTTCCGCGCGACAGATTCGATTCGTGGTGATCCTCGAAATTGACTCACCGTTGCTAACTTATCAATTGACAATCTGCTCGACGAATCGATAACTTTCGTATGTTCTTAACATACATAGATAAACATGAGAATGTGAAAAATCTTCTTAAAAATTATCGGGCGAGAATACTTCACGTTTTAAAAGTGTTCTGATAAGACGGGAGTGGCTATCGGTGTCCAAAGTATGCTTTAATCGCTCATTACATATTATTGTAGTGGAACGAATGTGCGTATAATCGTTTTGTGTTTTCAAGACGGAGATATCGCGTGATATCGTAAGAAAATAAAAGGATTAACCGATCCATATATACGGGGGTCTCGCAAGGGTTTCAATATGTTCGATAAATTTTTATCTTCGAATATATATATCTATGTTGTACTCGTATAACGCACACACATATTTTTCTTTTATCACTCATCTTTGTCATTCCATCAGTCACATATATTCAACAACGATATTATACATACGATAAATATCTTAGACACGAACAGCAAGTGTCTGTCGGTCATTGTCAACACACGACTTTGCGCGATCGTCTATCCTATAATAACAGCGTTCTATCGTGAAAACGTAAGCTCTTAAAAAAGTGTGAACCAACAAGGCAAAGGTTTTTCATTAACTGTTGATCGCTTTACCACATGATTTTATAACTCTAACTTCCTTCAATTCTTCCCCCTTTTTGATTTATCTCATTTTCTTATGGGCCAAAAATGCGAGCGACTTTACGATCGCCAGCAAAGACGATATTTTCTTTTTTACAGCCCATTGTGTAACTTTATTGTCACATGTAACATTTATACAATCTGTTACGAATAATTATCGCTCAGTTGTTCGCAATTTTAAATGCAACTACGTTCAAGAACGAACAAAGTGTATTATAAATTAGATGAAAGTAATATAAATGAGAGTAATAAGAGCACGAAGAAGAGTTATTTTGCGCATTTTGAAATCATGAATGAAATCAGATTTAACACAACGAAAACAGTTCACCATGTGCGTTAAACGACACGTATTGGCTTGTCGAATGTTCAGAAGTTGGGAAAGTACGCGCCTATTTTACTCGTATTATATTACCGCTTAAATTAACATTTACATTCAAACCGTGTGTTTAAATATCCTGCAGGAGAAGACGATGTTTCACTTCGGCGTGATAAAGTCGCCTGAAACGGTGCTATTTATTAAAACCCGAGAACACGACAATGCTTATGTAACATTTAAGAAGGGTTTCTTTGTCTGTTGTTCTTAATATCGAATGTACGTATCTGGGATATCAGTGATGCTGTTTTTTCTTATTTTTTCTATTTTTTTTTGCAAAAGCGCGCGCGCGTGCGCCACCACAAACGGATATAAATCATTTCAGTAAGGAAAACTGAAAATTACATGTTTTTCTTTATAATTCTATCAAATGCACGTAACGAAGCGACGTCATACTTGCGGAAAGCGAAATATCGTTAAAACGACGACGACTCGCAGACTCGTCTGCGCATTTTTTTTTGTGCATTTGTGACAGCTCGGTATCGCGATTCTCTCGATCGTTCCGTCTAATCATATAACGAGATATCTACTTTGTAAATAATTTGTTTTACAATTAATCATCGTATCTCTGTTGTGTTGAATTTTATATTAGAAAAAAATGTTAGGAAAATTAATTTATAATAAGATGTCATATTCGTGTAATCAATATCGTTGCTATGAAATAAATAGGAACATGAAATACTTGCTGTCGCCGTCGCCTTTCGCTTTTCGTGCGTCAGATTCATTAGAGATATTTTGTGATTTTAAGATATATCATATAGTTATTAATCACGAAGATATCGCTATCACAACGGCGCGAAGACAGTGATTGCGATGTCGATTTTGATTATACAGCGTTTCATACAAATACGGGCAGTCTCCTGTCCATTAGAGGATACAACCTGAATTTTTCCAACTTTTTCTGTCTCTTTTTCTTCGAACGTAAAATCCTTTTTATCTTCTCGCTTTCGTCGGAACACTGTCTTCGTCACAACCATACCTGTTAGACAAAGAAACCGTGATAAAAAGTGAGATTTTAGATGAAAAGCACGAGTGAATTGAACTCTTATTTACCTCCTCGCTATTAATTACTAGTCAGACCTTTTCGCCGCTCGATTGCGGCTTCTCCTGCTGCGAGCGTTCCTTTTGCTCTTTTTCTTTATTTCGCTCCCTTTCTCTCTCCGCTTTTCTTTCTCTCAACATTTCCATCCTTCGCGCTCGATGCAGACTCCCGGATGGAAATGTCGAATCCTCTACCGCCGCGGCCGCGGCCGCCGACGCACCTCGCTCCACAGCCGTCTGCTCAATAAATTACTCCAATTTATTTCCCAAAACGCTCTTTCAGCCGATTAGCACGGATATTGATTGACGCGAAAGTCAGACTTTCGCGTCAGCCCTAGTATACGCCTTTTTTCTGCGCATTTAGCGCATGAAAGATTCGTACGTTGCCTGGAGAATCTTGCCAAATAATTTTGAGTGAAATTTTCTCAGATTTTAGATAAAATGATGAAGCACTTGTATAGTCGAATTTAAAAGTCCAACGCTGTGTATACTAGGGCTAAGAATGGAAGATGATAGAACGACTTAGGTACATACTTTGAGGATAAAGCTAGCTGTCGAACTCTTGGCGATGGGACTCTGACCGGTGGATGGATGCCCATGGCCGTGGCCGTGTGTGCTGAAGTAACCGCCCGCTTTTGGCTTGATGTGTCTATTGTGCATCTCCATATGCACTATCTTCATAAATTCGATTCGCGCAGCTAATTTTTGAATCTCCTCCTGATACAAAGAATTTAGGATCGAGCGAAGAATTGAAGTTTGCTTCCACTCGCTTCAAAGTTGTGCGAAATAATTGGTTGGTAAAAAGCCGCGTTACCTTAAGCTCTTCGTTTTCTTGGTACAAATCTGTCGTCTCTTCTGGCACCAGGCCGATTCCGTTCAGAGAGAAGCTCGCGGTGACGCCGCGCGCTCTCGCTCGACTATCCCACTGATCTCCCTGGCCTCGCAATACTCGAATTACCTGAACACGTCGATTGATAATATATCATCGATTACATAAATAAAAATTTTTTTAAATTGTACATAATATCAGAGTTGATAAAATACGGATTGATGATATTTCTTAGTGATTGCGAAGTATGTTCATTCTCACATAATTATTGATTTTATCCGTTTGTCTCACCTTCGGGCCGAATACGAGGAAGACCGTGACAGACGTCGAGAGTTGGGTTCGCAGGAAGCCCAGCACGTATTTAATATCCGGTCCGGCGCGCGGAAATATGAAGAGACTGCAAATAATATCGCACGATATACGATACACCGTTCTTACGAAACTTGCAGACATTGTATGTAATAATGCATGTTACATTGATTACGTACTGAATGGCTATCATGGTTATATTCACCGCGGCTATATTGTAAATGGCGTAGCTTATCAAACGGGCCTCGTTAAACAGGCTCTCCGCGTTTCGCACGTTGTAACATACCTTTATGCCCCAGGCGAGAAAGAGAATTTCACCTGTCCACGTTAGAAAAATCGTTTGTCGATTATTCAAAGTCGGCCTGTCGATGACATCGCGACGTTGTTTCTGTACTCACCGATAGCCAGACTGTGATCCCACCAATTGTAAGAACACTGATAAAACTTCAAGTCATGATTATCCGCGATTACTTCCGCGTAAGGCGGCGCGCTGACGGTCCACGTGCCGAGATAGATCAGCATCACTAATAGTATAGGCACCATCCATTGTAGCAATTGCTTGTCGGTCAGCTTGACTTTGTGAGCGCTCTTCACGCGATACGTAAGCGAGACCCTGCGAACAAAAGTTTAATTTTTGCCTCCGCGATCAGTTTAGGAACAAAGCGTTGAAAATAAGAGACCAAATTTTATTTATTAAAGTACGGTATTTATTGATATCTATTTTTTTTTTTCGAGAAAAAATCAAAGAATTAGACTTTGAAATCAAGAATTGCGCTCTTTTTTAGTTGTACGAATTTAATTTATTATCACAGAATAACTTGCTCTTTTCCTCGAAATTTATATCGTATGATTTGGTCCTCCGTATTTTCAATTATGCATTAGTCGTAAGCTATTTACCGCCAGGTTTTCATTAGCAATGCCGTATACGAGACGCAGAATCCCATATGCCTCGTCCACTTAGTGGCGATGCACGAATACATGTCGAGAACCGGGAATATAGCGGCCATCTACGGGAAGCTCGTTCCTGATTAATACTTGACAAGATTTTTATTTTAAAAAAGTGTAAGGAAAAGTGCTTACCTCGAGATACATTAAGGCGCAGCCCAAGAGCGTAATAGATAAAAATATCGGAGAGGCGACCTTGAATACCTTCAGTTTACGGTGCTGATACACATATGCCACCAAGACGATGGTACCGAAGGCGCAGAAAATGGAAACGGCTAGCAGCGTGATTCTGGAAACAGAATAACACACGCTTAAAATAAGCAAATTGAGCGACGAGAGGAGCGAAGCGTATACGCGCGGTATAAAAATACCTAAAGGGCCAATTGTACATCGCCAGGCAAGGTTCGGAGCCTTTGCACCTGGCGCATCCCGGTGCGCAGCGCAGACAGCGGAATACCTTCTCGTAGGAATCACTCTTATTCTCCCTCATTTCCTTCCACGCGGCTGCAATCGAAAAGAATAATGATTAAACGTATATAACGACACGCAAATGCGCCACTCAGCCGGTCCTGACCTTCCACGAGGATCCCGTCGAAACCCGTGCGCTGATGACTGGTGCTGTAGAAGCCCTGCCGACATTTGCACGCGTACGCGCCCTTCGCCCATCCGGCGCCCACCCCGTTCTCGTTCACTCGGCTGCCGGGTCCCTGGTACACGCACTGTAGCGAAAACACGAACATCGTTCTTTTATCGCTTCCGAATATCGCGCGAGGCGCCCGACATTTACCTGCGTAGTGTCGGTGTGGCACTTGTGAGTGCTCTTAAAGAAGGCGATTTGATTACTCGGGAGAGTCTCGAGTTTGTCGCGGCTTTGTAGTGGTGTGTCGCACTGGTTTATCTCCAGCCCGCTTATGTCGATGTCCATACTGATGAATTCCCGCACCCTTCAACGCAAAACGGCCGGAAGACGTTCGGAACAAAGATTACATTACATTATACTGCCTGAGCGAAAATATTCCCGAGCGAGCTGATATACTAACCCGGGTCGGACATCCGGTGGCTTCACGTTAACGCTGTACGAGATGAGCCAGCGGCGGGTCTTGCAGGAGAAGTACGGGATGGTCCACCAACCCCTGTAGGATTCAATCGGCGGTGACTGCATGAATTTCGGTGACCTGGGATCACACGCAAACGCCACAAGCCGCCATAGAAACTTCGATTTCCTTTTCAATATAGTGAACACGTGCAACGAGTCGTACCGCCCGGCACTTCACGGTCATCCCGGAATATCGTTTAATGGTCAAAATGATAGAAAGACCAACGTCTTGCAAGATCATTCACAAGTACGTTCACATCATTCACGAGTGTATCGAGTTTCTATGACTTGACGCTCGTACGGGATGATGAGGGATGATGAATGATCGTGGAGCGCCTACAATATCAGCGCGATTCTCTTCTAGTGAGTTGTCTCGGATATATGAGTTTGTCCATTCTGAGATATTTTTACAAGCCTTTACAAGCCTAGGCTTTCCGAATTAAAATAATATTTATTAAGATAATTACATTGCACGAGCAGTATTCTGTTATAAACACAAGAGTGATGGAAGTTCAATTAGCATTAATTTGAGGATTCTCCATATTTATTAAGCGGTCAACTTTGCATAATTTCAAAAATACCCTCTCTTTTACTATCAAAATTTTATAATTAATTACAAATGATTAATAATAATTATATATGATTCACAATAAATCTTTCATGTATTTTTTTATCAATTTATATACATAACTTGTGTATAGAAATATTTTGTACCATAATATATTTAAACATTAATAATACTATTTTTGCGTCAAATACGTAAAATTAAATGTTTTAATTTTGCGCAAGATACAACACACAATTCTTTCTGTTTTGATTTAAGTACAATTGATCATCATGGACAGATTCATATCCTTCATTTCTATAGATCATCAATAAAGATACTGACTAGAAGAGGAAGACAAACATTAAGCATGAACGTTAGGGTGCAAAACACAGATGAAAAATTGCGTAAAGGTGCGTGTGCGTGCGTGCGTGCGTGCGTGACGAAATATAGGGTGATTACATAAAGTATTTTCGAAAGAAGTCAAACTCGAAAGTTACAAAATTAGAACATCTTTTCTCCGTATTATTCCATGTGCCATTAACTGATGAATAAAAAAATGTTTAAAAAATTCTTTGAAATCGATCTTATCAAAAATCTTATATGAAATAACTTTATCTAACATTTCTGATTTATTTGCAGGTGCGTCATCTTTCGACCAATTGTATCACTAAAACGGATCACCGTACAACAACATTGATGCTCGACGAAAAGAGTGAAAAGTTCTCAGCAAGATTCTGCAAACGAATATATAGTTGAACGAGTATCGACGCCGCGAACCTCAATTCGCCGCTACCGCCTGCGTTCTCGAACCACGGCAAATTAGTATCCGGCTGCGATCCAGGCTGGAATGCATGACTCTCGACCTTTGAAGGCTCGCCCACGCTTCCGGGACTGCGTTTAAGCCATACTGCGGTGATCACTGTATCAGTGGACGCGTTCAGCGCAATCACTCTCGTTTCCACCGCGTCGTCCACCGAAACGAGCAGAGATTTCGTCAGAGCATCTAAAAGAGCTGCGCACACACAATTCCATTATTGATATCCCGCGGCTCTGCTCGTTCGCCAGGTTCGATGGTCACTCGCGATGCGCGCGTTATTCTTTACGCGCAACAGGTGCCGCGGTTGCCAAAGTAACGGGTAAAAGAGTTAAATTGGACTTTACTTTGAATTATTCATACACAGATCATTGTTTTTGTTTTATCAAATAACACATACTATTAAATTTATTTTTTTTAAATTGAGAATAGAAAACTAAGGAGTAGAAAAATTTATAAAAAGATTAAGCAACTTTTAATATCAAATCAAGTAATTTATCAAATTGTTTGCTCCAATTTAATTATATGTCAAACAATTCATTTTGTATTTTTTTTCTTGTTTTTAAATATATTTTTCTCTTTCAGTTTTAACTCACCGTTACGTCGCATCGCCTCAGCAGCCCCCAGATTTTGGAGCACCATAGCAGTCATATCGATCTTCTGACGCGCTGTGTCATAACGCCGCGGATCCAGCGTGACACCAGCCGGGAGAGATTTAAATCCCGCTGTATTGACGCAAACTTCGCCTAGGGAACCCGTCGATGCCGCCTCTATCACATCCAGCGCTTCCTCAATAGCTGCCTTCAAAATGACCAAGACATCAGAAATGTTAGAAAAAAAGAGAGGAATGCAAAAGATATTTATAGTCGTGCCGATGAAAACAAACCCGTTTGGAATCGATGATGTCGTCACGAGTGGTCGTTGATAGAGACGGCGTCGAAGATGAATCGGCTTTCGTCATCGCCGTCATCGTCATTGTGGTCAGCGTGGCAGCGAGTAAGACCGAGAGCCAGGACTCGCCCATCCCGCGCCCTGGTCATTTGTTCTTGTAATGAAACGAGAGCTCCGATATGTTTGACTTATTCGGATATAATACTTCTCGAGAGTAAACAGCAAGGTAAAGTAATTTGATTATATTTTCGGTAAGTTTACTTTTACTTGTAGCAACATGACGCTGAATGCTTTCTTTCGCATGAAGCAATTTTTTTCCAATTTTAATCTATCAAGAAAGTTATGCTCTTGTGACAAAAATGGTAATTTGAGTAGCAGTTTGAGTAACAAGGTCTAAAAAAACTCAATATTTTTCTGAAGGATATTTTGCTCTTAAAACAACATGGATTAAATTAACATCGCATTCTGCAATTTTGCCAAACGCGGAATTCGAGTAGCCGAAGAATTGTCACGGGATTATTTGTATCGCCAAAATACCTCGCGTTCTCGCAGCAATCTCACCTCCTGCGGTGACATTCAAGTAGCGGCGAGCTTGCGGCCCCCGCTCGCAATGGGCCGCTCGTACGCCCTCGCCGGTGATCGCCCGGGCATGTTTCCACCTGTAACCGTTCAGCCCGCTCGATCTTCCATCGGCGAATCGTCTAAAGGGCTCGTGCCTGTACCGAACACAAAACGCACGATAGACGGTGTGTTCCATTTTCGCAGCGCGAACAGTCGAATGCGATTAATATCCTGGATTATTGTTAGCCACTCGATAAAAATGGCGATATTTCCCCCTTCCGCTATCGGATTATTTTGCTATTTTAAACCGAACGCGACACACGCTTCGAGCAGAGAGTCGAGAATATTACTGGCACGGCTATCGGCCTCCGGTCAACTCGATTTCGTCTCGTTTCCTCGGCGTATCGCAAAATAGAATAAGCGGCGATATATAGGCGAGTCCATTTTCCAGCGACTTACCTGGGCCTTTGACAAGCGACACGTGAGGCTCGCTCAACCTTGAATAAACCTATAACAACCTACAACAGCCCTCTACAACCCTCAGCATCGTTTGCGCTCGCATACTCATCCGGCTGCGTTGCGCCGCGATTGGCTCGCCGTATCTCCGAAGACATGATAAGAGAAGAAGAAGAACAATAGTTTCCCTCTGATAAAAATATTTGACATCGTTTGCGAATATTAGCGTGTAACTCAATCGGAAATGCGCAGCATCGAATCGATACGACGAATAATTAAAAAAAGAAAACAAAAAGCGAGCGCGCGAACTGTCTCGCTCGTGTGAGTTGCTTTTAATTAATCGGTTCGAGATCGATAGCGCGACGAGTCGATTCGATGAGAGGAGCCGAAGAGTAACGCGACGCACACATGGATACCGGAGCCACCGATGTAGACGAGTCGCCTTTGCGTAACGAGTGTCGTTATCGTGATTTACAGTATTTTTCTGGCGCGACGAGGTCGTATTGTGTCCGTCCGTAGGAAACGGACGCTATAGCACCAGTAGAAACGATCGATGCAGCCACCGGCAGCACGGCACAGCCACCCCCAGAACTCGCATCGTCCTCTCCCCTCTTCGAGTTTTACTCCTTTCACGTCGCATCTCTCTCTCCTCTTGACTTTATTTTATCCGATACTGAGCCGCGCACCGATAGCAGTATCGTAGGCTAATGGAAGTCTCTCTTCTGTCGACTTTATTTTATCCGATACTGAGAGCCGCGTATCGATAGTGGCATCGTAAATTAACGGAAGTTCAATGTAGCGTTGTAATTTATGCTCGCCGGTTCTCTATTTTACTTTTTAATACTTTATATAGATGCAGTCTGCGGTTTCTCGTTTTGCATGAATGACAGTTTTATTCGAATATGTTGACAAGATATTAGTTGAACGCGTAAAGATTCCACGGAAGGGTTTTCGCAAGTATCGAATCTAAAATCTAATGAACGACGGATGTTTCCATTCATCAGAATCATAACACTCCATCGATCACTAAAATATTAATGATATGATGCGGAATGTGCACTTGTGATTTATTGCAGTTGTCACATCTGTTTAAAAAATTGTCAAGTCCGATAATCATTTGTTTGATCTAAATATTTTTCGATTTACAATTCAAGATATATATTGTTTTTCTATTATCTTAGTAGTCTTCCGACTTGATCGTTCCACGAACGACGATGAAATTTATAATGAGTGCTATTATGCGCTGTCATTCACAGAGAAATGGAGCGAATGAAATTTCTCGCGCCGCTGAAATTTCCCCGATAAATCAAACGTACAAATCAAACTGACGGAAAGTGCGTAGTGTATATTACGCGCGCGCGAAAAGTCTACACGGTGCGTCACGCACCAAAAAATTGTGCGAGGCCACACGTAATCTTATAGCGCTTAAATACTTTTAAAAATATGTACCTTCCTGTACATACGCGTTACATAATGTTAGATATTTTAACATGATTGGGCGAGACAATTTGGAGCAATGAGATGCAGAAACGAAAATACAGGGCCTCGAATTTCGTTGTATATCTCATACTAGTCCGCGATCACCGTGTCCAGCGGACAGTGAATAATCGCCCACTTACCCTTGGCATTTAACACTTCGTTTCCCGCATAAATATGTGCGAGGGATCCCATGAACATCCGGAAAACGATTACTGGCAGACCGGAGGAAACGGCGACACACGCAATTTATTAGCGCAGAAACCGGTAATGCGCACGGCGGCAGAGGGAATACGAGAACACGAAAGGGTTTTCGCGAGAGGCAAAGAGGCCTTCTCCGAACGAAGGCTCATTCGTGACTCGACGAGGACTCAGCTGTGCTGCCGGGGACCAGGGTCGGGACCGGGAGTCGGGCGTGCGCCCTTCGCGAAATCAAACTTCGTCCTCGCTGCAATCCTAATCGCTGATGTGTGTCGGAAGACCGTGCCGCGAAAAGCCGCCGGATGTCACATCGGTCATAGCGTTGAGAGAACAATCGGTGAGCATTAATCGCGCATCATTCGAGACGTCAATTAGCGATAAATAATTGACACGATCGTTCCTCAGTTTTCCTCCGGTTGTACGGTGCGTATAATCGCGCGAAAGCAAGATGCGCCTCTCGGCGCATGCCCTCGTTGGAAATAATAGGTCCGGAGCGCGGGCGCAGCTTCATTAGCTGCGAACGAAATTCGAATGCGTCACGGCGACACGCTGTAATGCAGATACTGAAAGTCGATCAGCGATCCCGATTGAAAGCTCGGCGCTTCGTCGATTCGAACGATTTCATTAATTCGAGTGAATTATCGCGGTGAGTGTAGGAAAAAGGTAGTGATGAGTTTTCTTTTTTCTTTTTTTTTTTAATTAGAAAAAGAAAAATTGAATGACGAAGGAGCGAGCGTTAGTCCTTGTGATTGTGTCATTTGTTAAAAGCATGGACAGTTTTGCGAATAACCAGAAGGCACGTGCGCTGACTTATTTTCAGGCAATACTGTTATACTCGTGTAAAAATTGCCACCATGGCAAGCACCACCGACATTAAGCTTTCACGATGTAACGATCAATCATGGGGCTTTCGGCTCTCCGGAGGTTTGGACTATACTTTTCCATTAACTATCGTTAGGGTAAGATCTGTTGATATTCCCCGTATTTAAACAGTAAGCAGCAGTATGAATTATTTTCAATTTTTTTTCTTTTTCAATATCGATACTCGCTCGAATCAAACGAGAATTAAGCATGTTTCCGCGCTAATAATTATTTCTGAATAAAGATAAGAGGATTCACGTATTATTCTGAAACACGCTAATGCTTGTTCAACAAGGTGACGATCGGAGGCCTAGCCCATACAGCTGGCCTGCAAGCAGGCGACGTGATCATCAAGCTGAACGGGGAGCCAATAAGTCAACTCACACACGCGCAAGCCCTTGATAAACTCGTCAGTATTGGCAACAATATCGTTCTGTCTGTCATACGAAGCCATGAGATCGCGCGACAACAATAATGATACTTCCTGTCGATAGCTCTTGTTCTCCCGCGAGTTTCCACCAGCTTTCATGTATGTCGCGTGACAATAAACCTTCACAGATAAAAAAAAAAGTCGGCAAGCCGTTGAGGTACAATAGACGCGACACGTTGTTAACAAGAAGCTAAAATTGTAAAAAACCCCGCCGATGTCGACTCTTAAGCGAGAGCCGTGTGTGTTCGAATTTGCAGATATTATATTGCCTTGATTCGACCTTTCGCGCGCGCATCTGGCACGCATTAGTCGCAGCAATCACAGTCTATTAGTTACAAAGTTGCGAAATTGTGTCGCCGATCGACGCGCGTCATCGAATGCAATTTGTCAACTATCGATTAGGCACGGCGCGGTGCCCGCGTCCTTAACGGACTTCATTTTTAGCCGCGATTAGATATGGCTCCCTTAAATAAACTCCTTTCCTCTTAATCAATTCTATGATTAGACAAGTGAAGGTAAATTCAGGGAACGCGACGGAGTATACATTTTATTCACATAATTTATTCTCGTTTTAATATATTAGATATTGTTCGCAGAATATATATGACTCGCGTCATCGTCGTTATTATCGTAAGATATAGATGTGCGCTATTTCACGATATAATTTACACAAAAAAAAAATATATATATATATATATATATAACTGTACAATGGCCATTCTCTCTCACTTTCTCCCCTCGAGCATACATCAATATTACAAGCACACAAGAAAACTTTATCACACTTGTTACATCTTCATCACTTTACCCCCCCCCCTACCCCCCCGCGAGTCGACGTTACGGCCGACGCGAGACCAAGTACCGCTTGGAATCGGATATTAAAATAAAAAAAAAGATCACTTCAAAGATTGCAGGATTAAAGGAACATATAGGAAGTCACGCGCTATGATTATAAGTAACGATCACACGTGCGATCACTAAATGCCTAAACTGTCTTCGTCTTCTCAGCCTGTAATATATACGCGCTAGGCAAATCTGTAATGCTTCGGTTGCGCCAAAACCGTGAAAATGTTCCTATCATTCATACGCGTGCCAATTCCGCTCATATGATATGATGTTAGATATGAGAGCTATTTCGTTCCGGCAACTATCTAATGATATGCATATGTTTCTCTCATTATAAAGAGCGCGATGTTAAGTTTGACGTATGTTATGTCATTTTTTTTTTTAAGTATTACGTAGCGAGGATTGTAATGAGGAAAATGTAGTGGAACGCATGAGAAAGAAAAAAACTCTGAACCTCCGCGCCTATAAACTTTGTTGCTACTTCAGAGTTATGAATATAATATGAAGACGAAAGTGACGATCCTTTGTTGCTAAAAACGTATAGCTCTTGCGTTGTCTATTCTTCTAGCGACACAACAGCTTCACGCGAAGACGAAAACGGCTATTCGGGGTCGAGATCGATCCGAGGAATCTACGATATCTTCAAACCCAAAAGCAAAAGACGAAGCAAACTGAGAGGCCTGGCAGGTACTACGTCTCACCCGCGGTTAATTAATCAGCACGCGTCCCAGATCAATTGAAATCGGCTATTTTACCGGCTGATCGTAACCGTGCGATCGATCTCGATATATAAATTTACACTTTGGTATACAAATACATAATCTAAAAGGCGCTATTTCGTACGGTTGTGTCCTTCGACGAGTCCGATCGCGTCGAAAATTATTGCACACCATACAGTTTCAGAGCAGACTTAGGGATACAGTAACTTTCGACGGATTTTCATTCTTAACGAGTCGCCAACCGAGACATGCGATTGTCTGTTTCAAGAACGATACATACAAGATTATATACATTTTTCCTTGTGTATATTTTTATGTTATTTTATAAGATATTGGATAAAAACACGTACGATTGTCCATCCAATTAAGCATTAAAATGGGATGTATCAATAATTTCAATTTTTAAAATGTATATTGCGTTTTATGTATCTTGGAATTATTACGCGATTAAGAGTACACAATTTTAATTATAAAATATTTAAAAAGATAGAATTTTTTCAAAGATCTTAGGGAATAACTCAGGGGAATAAATACTATTATATGTTACTTGAATTATAGTAGTATTGCTTTTCTAAAGCAGAGCATCATTTAAGGAACGTTTTCGTTTGACGACTCGTTGTTAAGACGCCAGTAGTAAAGGAAAGGCAATGGACATCCACCTCGAAAATCGGTTGAAAATTGCGACCCAAATGCCAGCTCCATTTTAAAGAATCAAGTCCCTCTTTCTCCTCATCTTTATTCTCTCTCTCTCTGCATCGAAAATTTGTCACAGTAAATATATGTACAATATAATCAGGTACAATAGTAGCATATGGAGATTTAGTTCGGTTTAGTTTTTAGGAAAACGAACGAAAAAGCGGGGATAAGGACGAGAATGAGAAGGAGGAGGATTGGAGGAAAAAATAGAGCAAAAGAAGAGAGAGAATAAAGATCTTTCTCATCATATTTCACAAGATTATTCGATTGATCATGTTTAGTAAATTTCTTCAACTTATATCAAATTTACAGATTTTGATTAAGATACACGACTCAGCGCGAGAAAGTTGTATATTTGGTCTGTCTGATCAGCAGATCTGTAGAATCCGTGAAAATGTAATTGACGAAAATGAAGTAGCACGAAGTCTCGTAGTGCAAAATGAATTACCTGAATCGTATTCGCGCAGGACACAGGCCGTGACAATTGAGATGAGGAAAACGGGTATCGGCCCGTAAAGATAATAAACTATATTCCGTATTTTTCTCTTTCTGACATGGCGGATAGCCGCTGCAGTAGCGTTTTGTGCGTTCAAATTCTAATGTCCGATGACATCAATGTAACAACTATTGGTCCGCTTGTTCGCTGGTCTCCTCGTTGTCGGACACCGACGTCGACGTCCTATCATGGTTCGTACAGATCTCCGCTTGACACTGTGTCTCGGCGATTTCCAACCAGTGCCGCTTATTTTCCCTGACCCCATCAACGAGCGGCGTCAGTTTATCCGACAGATGGGCAAACGCCTGTCGAAAGAAATGTAGACGGCAAAGATAAAATGGATTAGATCTAGAGATAATGGATTAATCTGTTAAATTATGCATACCTCGTAGATGGGAAGGCAGATGGAATCGATGAAACCGACTTGCATCTTTGGCAGTTCATCTTCTTTTTCTCTGTTCATAATATCCTACAATGCGAAAAACAGCGCGTTTGTACAAGAGTGCCTTCGATATTTTTTGTATTTACGAATTACGTGTATTCGAAGTACTTACAATAGGCGTAATATTGAGCGTCCGCCTCTCTATATCGCCCTGCTCGAAAAATTCGCTACTAACAAGCTCGGCTACTCTTTTTTCAATCTCCCACGGTTTCGTAATAGCGGCCAGATCGCAGACTGTCATTAGCATACCGCGCAGGAGTTCTCGGTCACCACTGTACGCCCAGTTGTAGCCACCACGTACTAGATTGAGGAAGGCGCCACGCTTTCTGAAGTAAACGGCGAGATCAGTGGAGAGTATCGCTTCTTCGAGAACCTTCACCACGCGTGAATATTCCTCCGGCGAAAGATTCGACAGAATCTGATTGCCTTGGCTGCTCAAAATCATCAAGCACTGATCGAAATGGTGATGTTCCATCGTTGAGGTTGAGTACAATTGCGCAAGCGGCGATGAAGCTCTGGAAACGAAGAAGTAATAACTCGTACAGGCACGATCGTTTTAAGACGTGCGATATACATTTACTTACTAAAAAGTAATAGCGGATAAAGTAAACAATAATGCTCACTTAATTTGGAAAGAATTATTTGTCCCACGATGATCTAGATCGTGACACAAGCAAGCGATGATGAGCGCGAGACATTCGATCTCACCAAAGATCTTCCACCATTGGGTAGCCTAAGGACAAAGGAACGATTATAGTTACGGAAATTATAATCAATATTGCGTATACATTTAAGAAAAAGCTTACTGTTAAAATAGCGAACATCATTTGAGCCACGTTAAAGGCGTGTCGCCAATTGTGGTACGTGACGTTCCGATAGTTTTTCTTCACACTCAACAACCAACGACAGAGTACATCGTAATCGATGTGAAAACGTTTGACAAAATCCAAATCAAGGAACATTCTGAGGCACGCGGTCAATGTTTCATTGTCTTCCATGTGTATATCGTCAAAGTTGAAATCGTGCAATTGAAGATGCGCCGACGACGGAACTTTTAAACTCTGCCGAAGAAGAAATCGGATAATTAGAAAAGTTTACAAAATAACGACTTTTAATATGTTGCAAAGGAAATACTAACTCTCAATCTCTGCGCGTCCTCCAACGACGCCGAGGCATGGTAACTCAGCACTTCTAAAGTCACACTTTGTTTCGCCATCGCTATCACAGCCTTCTCATACCTGCGCAGCAGAGATTCGATAAGAGAAGTTGAATATTCGAGACAGATTGAAGCCACACAATTGCACTTACATGTGCGTGTTATGGATTCCCATCCCGCAAAATATCGCAAATGCCTCAACGAAATTTTCATCGTTCTTCGTGAAAGGCAGGTCATCGAACTTATTGATCAATTGAATAACACCAATTATTTGACCAGAGGAATTCTTGATAGCCATACAAAGTATCGTACGATGCTTAAATCCGGTACCTTCATCTACTAGACGATCGAATTTGTCATCTTCGTAAGCGTTCGGTATGTTGACAGTCTGAAAATCGCTTTTGTATCATTTCGGACGCTAATGTTTTCGCGGTTGTGTCGACGAAGGGACATATTAATCGAGCGGTACTCACTTCACCGGTTGTCGCTACGTGACCCGTGATACCGACGTTGATAGGAAATCTACTCTCGAACGGACTGGAAAAAAAAAAAACAAATTGTTAGATTTCTAAGATAAGCTTGCAAAACAAATAGCTGGATGTAATTACAAACTTGATTCACCTAGTGCGAGAATCGGAATCCTCGCCAGTGAGATCGTTCGCCTCGAAGTCGAAGACGCGCGAAAAACTCCACTTCGAGGCGTTATGCACGAGCAGCACCTGAAAACAATCACAACACTGTAACACGAGTTCGCTCGCATAATCGCATTTCGCTTCCGCAGCAAATGTTTATGCTGATTACCTGGACACGTTGACATTGAATCAACGACTGCGTATGCGTGAGGATCCTAAAAACCATATGCTCAATCGTGCTCTGCTCTTCGAAAATCATTCTAGCCAAATCCAGTAGAACCTAACGTCAATATCAAGAAACAATTATATCTTCCATCTCATCGCTTCCGTCGATTTAACGAGATTCGCGCTCACCTGATTTCTCTTCACTTCCAATTGACTCTTCTCGTAGAGTTGCGCGTTTCTCAAACCGATACCGCAGAACTGTAAGTAACTGGCGAAAACCTTTTCATCTTGCGCGGTGAACTGTCCTTCGCCGCCGAGTTTGTTGATCACCTGCGCCACTCCGATTACGTCGCCGTTGCAATCTTTAATAGGCATACACAGTAAAGCACGCGTACGGTATCCCGTTAACGCATCAATCTCGCGATTAAACCTCGAATCCTGAAAGCATTTTTAACATTATGGATATGGTAGACATTGTACGTATTGCTACATTCCATCGATGTGACAGGTACGAGACAAATTATTCTCACGAATTAATGGTGATCGAGATAAAGATAAGACGCGCGCCAGATAAGATATTCGAACATATTTGTTTATGTCGGAAATGATCGCGTTCCGGATACGAACAAATGTTATGATTCATTGAGGATTTTGAATGCTTAATAATTGACCAGGTGTAAAATACGTCGCGCTCTCATCATATAGAAGAGAGAGAGACTTGGATAAACGAGGATGCAGTTTGATAAAATTCCAAATCCTACCTTGTAAGCGTCCGGTATATTAACGGGTTCCCCGCTCTCAGCGACATATCCGACAATTCCAGTTCCCCAGGGAATCTTGATTTCATCTTTCTTTTCCATTTCCAACAACGTCGATCTCGAACAAACGTCGAAAAGTTTCGAGACTAGACACCTGCTCCTCGAGTAAGATTGATTGTTACGTCGCAAATTCCCGTTATCGGAATTGTCCGCGGTGGCCTCGTGATCCTGAGAAGGAGATGCATTGGTGGTTGCGCCGCTTCTCTCCCCCTGGACGAGAAATAACGAGCCGCGATCCGCGTGAAGAAGCGTGCTGACATTTTGCAGGATTTTGTGGCACAACGATCTCACGTCCAGCTCGTTGCAAATGTCTTTCACCTGCGGGATCAAATCTCTTAGAGATGAAGGTTCAAGTGCACATTTTATCGAAGAACTTACCAACTCAAAGATAAGATCCTTCTCGTCGAGATGCCTCAGTTCGTGTCTCGATCGTCTTTGAGTTCGATTCGAGTTACCGGGCCCTGTGGCTTGTGGTCCGCCCGGCTGACCCGTGTCTCCTGGCGATACGCTCAAGAAGGTCGGCGTGCCGTCGATTGTGTTGACGATCGGCTTAAGAAGACCCCCTCGCTCAAACTCGTGCGCCGAAATCTTGCGTACGGGTGTCGTTGCTCCTGAGCCACCGGCACCACCTCGACCGGAGGTCGAGTTGCCAGCCGCAGCATGGGTCGGGCTTGAAAGCTCTACGCAGCTGCTGGACGACGAAGTCGGCGTCGCGTGTGACACTAACCACATGTCCACGGTTTGCCGTGTCACCTTCCTGACAACCGGAAAAGTAAAAAACAAGTAATAAGTTTATTCTATGTTGGGAACACTTCCCTGAGAAATGAAATGTTTTATTAGAAAAGTTCGAAAAATATTGTGAGATAATAGAAAAAGAGCACAACAGTGCAAGAGATGCAGAAAAAAAGAGAAGAAAGATATAGAGATTCGATAATGTATACAGGGAGGTAATTTAATTAGCAAATTCTTGCCATTCAAATATTTAACAAAAGCATTTTTCAAGATGCTAATTGAAGATTCAATATGTTCAGACAAAACAATAAATTCCACACATCGCGCAAATTTATCCCATCGCCAATTCTCGGTGCGATACCTTAAAAAGTAATCGTTGACGAAGTCAGGATGTTCGTCGAGCCAAGATTCCATACGAGAGTATTCCGGATCGTATATCGTTGAAGTCGACGTCGAGGAATAATAAGCGCCGCCGCTACCGCCGCCGCCGCCGCCGCCGCCGCCGCCGCCGCCGCCGCCACCATTTCCATCCTGCACCTGTTGCAACATGCTCTGGCTCGCTATACCACTCTGTGCTCCTTGTACTCCTTGTACACAAGGAGCCGCCGTCTCCGCCGTCATCCTCGGCTCCTCGATGCTCCGCAAGTGCAGGCCTATATATATTTCGTTTTGTATTAGTTAAAAAATTTATATTTACAACAACACAGCTGTGTCAAAAACTTTGATATAATTAATGGAACTTTAATTTTTACAAAAAGAGTTTTACAGTTTTTAATTTCAAAAAGAATTTTGCCGATTAAATGTACAAAAATGAGCATTTGTGAGCAAAATGTGAAATGAAAGTTTTTTTGTTTTCAAGAGTTAAATTTTTTTTTCTCAGACAATTCCAAATAGCATTTTAAAAAGTTTATCTAAAGATATAGGAATTCAAATCAATCTTGATTAAATGAAAAAAAACGGCCTCAGTAAATCAATAAAAATATTACACATTTAATTATTGGAATTCTTAACGTATCAAGAGCTGTAGAACTCTCTGGGAGAAAGCCAGGAAACTCGATCGATTGTAACGAAACTCTAAAAATGGGATACTAACTGTACAAAGAGTCTTATAGTCATGTTTTATGTCTTTCAGCCGAACGGATGTGCAGAGTGTAAAAAGAAAAAGACGGCGTCTTTGTTAAACATAATTTGAAGCATTCAGCGGTTTAGTCGCACATAATCTCTCGATGTAGCGATTCCGTCAAGCACGCATCGCGCACACGACAGCCGAGACACCGCGTATGGCTGCGAGCGGATATTGCACATCAAAGGAAAACCACATAACGTCACCGCTGCGCTGCCTCGCGCTTCCCCGCTCCACACTCGACTCCATGTAAAGGTGGGTAATGGCGAACACGTACGTCGTCCAAAGTATAAGATTCATATTTTATTCGCGCGCGCGCCATGCGTTTATATCGCTGACTTTTGTGCAGATTTTATCATCGTATATCTCTATTCTGACTGCGGCAAAATTTCTCTCCTCGCTGGGATTTTCCACTCAGTCATCGACTGGGTAATTTGATATAAAGTAGCTCTTATCACGACTATTTTAAATATCTCGGTTATTTCCGATGATGTATAAAAACAAAACGCATTACTTGCTTTGGGGGAACAAATCTGATCGTCGTATAATTCGTCCTACATACACCTGAATAAATATAGACATTTTTCTTATATATTTTTCTCTATTCTGAGAATATCCTTATAAAATATAAAATATCTCGTGTTTATTTTTCAATAACACGAGTTTAAAATGGATTGTGGGATATCTGTCAAGATCTGTAGGGGAAAATCGAGAGCTCGTTACTGGAACCGACCGACAGAGACCAAATGTAAACGAAATCTGTGGAAAAACACGAGATGGATTACCGGGTAAATTTCCTACGAGACGAGCGCGCATTCTCTTCACGGATGAGTTGCCGCGCATCGCATTGGTCCTGCTCATTCAATCCGTCGATTACGAACTACGGGCTGATGTCGTATAGTCGACTGCAAAAAGGTTGTCACACTTTTTTTTCCTGCACCAGTTTCGAAGCGTGCCAAAATCGTGAGAGCGTCCTTGCGACTTTTGGTGCATCGCGCGTTTGGCTGCGCACCAAAAATCGCGAGGAGGATTTTGCGAATTTGGCGCGTTTCAATATCTATGAAAAAAAAAGTCGCAATCTTTTTGCCGCTGACTATACTTACAAACGTCGCCGCGATAACCGGTTACAGCAGAGTAATCATGCGGAATATTAACTTTTTCGACGAGGTCCTATAATTGGTGATGCAACCGGAAAGACTATGCCACGCGAAGTAATAAGTCGAAATCTAGTTCTACTGCAGCAGTCTTGTTTTTTTTTTTACGAAGAAAAATCAATTTTATCGTCCCGTTTATACTGTCAAATACGGAACGCTTCTATCTCTTTAGTTTTCTTTTTAAGCTTCGTTATATTTCGCACTACATAGAAAAATTGTTGCTGCAAGTAATCGAAAGATTCTCTGCTACATGGATTAAATCGATACAATTTTCTACGCGAATGTTATTTTACGCGGGATCTCCCCGTTAGAAAAATTTAGCCTCCAGTGAACTGGAAATCCATGCTCGATTGACGATGCTTTACGATACGCAGAAAAATAGCGTGATGTATATGAACGATGTTCTAGCATTTCTTCCGTATTTTCTTTTCCCTTCTTTCTCTCGCACCTTTTTCTCCCTTTCCAATATCACTGAAAATTTCAAACAGTTTGCGCCAGGCGCCGTGGAACCGGTGGGGAGGCAGAGGGGGCGACCGCCCACCTAGAGATAATTCAGGGGCTACGCTTCCTTCCCTGAAATTTTTGTTTTCTTCAGGTATTTCATGACCGAAAATATTTGAGTATCAATACGATAACAATAAAAAATATTTGAGTATCAAATATTTACATCAAAGGTGGAAAAATGAGTTATTTTTCTTTTCTTTTTTCTTCTTTCTTTTTCCTTTGATTATTTACTCGTTCAATTGAAGTGCACTATATAACGAAGAAAATTAAGCGCATTGAGTTAATTAAAACAATAAATCTGTGCATATTTTTCGCACATTTATACTACCCACTAAGTGGCCTATTATTTGGTGTTTGAATGGAGTTACATACATATACATATACATATCATGAATGTATTATGTATCCCCTTTATAAATTTTGCCCCCTCAGATGAAAAATACTTCCGCGGCGCCTGTTCAAGCTTTCTGATTCCAAGATGCGCATTGAATATTAATAGTTTAAATAAATTAGAGGGAAAGGACGGTGTACGCGAGCGCGAAGTACATCTTACAACTTATCATATAAAGTGTCTCTCACTTCTATAATAAGCAGATTATAAAGCGATCAACAGCAGATTGGAAAGAAACAAAAGAGATATTATCACTAGATTTTGTTCAACTTCCATACGAGTATAATGAATGTTCCTTTTGTCTTTTCGGTAATGCCTTTTCGTTGCGTATTCATACATATAGTATCAGCCACGCTGAATAACCTTTAAGTTTAACGAGTTCTCATGGACGTCATTGCTTTGTCGGTGATAAACGTTACTGCGACAATAGATAGCGGAAACCAAACAACTGAAATTAAAGCTTACCTAGGCTTGATAACTATGCGCACCGTAAAATTCGATTAAATTGTCTATGCGGCACAAATTACGGCCCGATAACGATACCGTTCGTCTACCTGAAGATATTCGCAAATATTTTCTCTCACTAATATTTAAGAAAGAGTTAAACTATTTTACTTTTATCGCTCAAATTTGATGAGAGCACTGCTTCGATGCGTGAACACGTACTTTCCTTTCTCTTCGTGACCGACCATACATTTTCGATCTTATTCGCATTGCGAAGACCAAGTAGCAAAATACGAGTATAAATATTTTCAATTTAACTTCAGCTTATTTTCGACTATTGTCACATTCGATAACAATAAAAAAATTTGCTAGACAAATGCATAACTTTTTCAGATATGCAAATGACGCTCTCACGTGACAAAACGTACGTGTATCAATACGAATGACAAAGTTACAAAGGCGAACAACGTGTCGCAGCGTACGCTGGTGTTTTACACGATAGTAACGAACGGTGTGCGAGCGTCGGGAAGCCGAGAACCGACCAAGCGGCCTTCACGCGCCTCACCGCGGCCCGATGGCGCCAAGCTGACCTATCTGCTTGCCACCAATGCGGCTTGTCTCACTTTTGCTCGACCAGTCGCTGACCGATCAGCCGTCCGATCATTCTTCGTTACGTCTGTATGATTTTTTCCAAAAATTAGACTACAAATACGCGAGTTTGCGCGATGTACGGGAAATAACGTCGCGTCGCGTTGTGTATCACTTGCTAGTCGGAGCTAATCTCGTACTTTTCAAGATTTTACGGATAGTAAATGTTGGATATGAATCTAAAGTGATTTGTAATAGATTAATTAATCGCGAAGATCAATCGGTCTTACAGATTCAATTTTTCGCGAATAAATCTCCGATTTGTGTCACCTTGAACCAGTTTTTCAAGCCCCGGAAACGACATCTGGAGCATCGCGTCCCGCATGGCGAGAAACAACTTTTGCTCTGCATATTTTCAGAAAAGTAAGAGAAATCACCGCGAAAATTGAGTCATGAATTCAGTATTTGAGATTTACGTACAGCAGAGATTGGGAAATAAAAGGTCGGTGACGGGATGTTGTCGGAAGATTTCTCATCGCTTGTACCAATCGATGTTTTAATCGCTTCTCTTGGAGAGGTGAAGCAGAGATTAAGCAGAACTATATTTGTTATTAGTTCTCAGGATTGATGACGCAAACGATCGCGCGAACCAAAGTTTCGTGAGAACGGGAAGCAAGTTAGAATCACGTGTCCGGTCCGTGTAACCGCGATCGAGGCAAGGTCGAAGGACTCGAACGGTGGAAGGACGATGAGGCGAAAAAAGGATTTATCGTCTTTCGGCCGGGCGTCGATCCCTCTGCGCGTCTCCGTCGGAGGCCCCCCGCGTTCGCGTTCGCGTTCGAATGTACACCAAGAGGCCACTGAAACCTGCTCTCAGACCGGTCGCCGGTTCTTCGTTTTCTGACAGCATCAGACTCTCCTCTCCCCTCCCCGCCCCTCCGGCCACGCCAAGTCCCGCGCACTCGATCAGCGATACCGTCAAGTTCAATGTTTACCGTTTTTTTTTTGTTTTTGTTTGGTTCTTTCAAATCCGCACAAATCAATTCGCGATCATCATTTCACTTCGCAGTTTCTTCGTTTTACTCGATCTCGGCAGCATCTCTGACGTATCATCAGTAAACCGCGAAATCAGTAGTTCGCTCGCGAGTGCAGTTAATGCAGCTACCTCCGCGTAGGCGGTTAGCGATCGCAACTGCCCACGTACTTCGAATTCCGAAAACGTATCAAGGATAATCTGGACGAGATATTTCCAGTGCATTTTACGGCTCGGCTCACTGCCGGCGTGTTTTAAGACGTAATAAGATTCCACGGTACGATACGAAAACATTGACCTTACGAAGAGTCAAGCAACTGATGCACGCCGCGATAAAATTTCCATTCACCGTCGATTAGTATTCTAGATCTAGTATCCTAACTTCCGCTTCACACAGAGTCGCAATGCACGTGGGATCAATTTCATCGAGTCATTTTCGGAATCTCTTGACCTGGCGTTAGGCCAAGGAACGAAAATTTTAACTTATTCTCCCGACCGATCATCGTCGAATCAGCAACGAAGATACTTTTGTGACGCTGTTAACATCATTCGGAATACAACGAATCCGAAAAGCTTACGCAAAGTAGCTACCAAGAATGCTTCCAGGCTTTACAGTTTCCCGACGTGCGATCGTATCAAGGAAGATTTTGAGGGAAAAGTAGCTTAAGGCTTCAAAATTACAATTTGTCTTCCGCAAGAATAAATTGATTCCGAGAATGTTTTGAAACTACGTCGTATAAAAATACAAAGCTACTCCATGTCTATATTCAGACCATCGTGTGCGATTTAAAAATAAATAACGACCTTGCTTGAAACATTCTCCAGCAAAATAATCGAATATTAATAAGCTTGATGTACACAATTCTAATCAACAATTTAGCGCCAAAGCTCGAAGAGACCAAACCGATCGAAAGACGTATGTATCATTTTTTTTTTTCACGGCTAACATTTATTCAATGAGAGAGAAGGAAGCCTCGCCGTGAGAGCTCCACTTTCGGCATACGTAGAGGTAAACGCGAGACGATGCAAGGCGGCGAGACACGCAGCTATATTAAACTCCAACCAACACGTGTGAGCGCGCGTTGTATCATCGTCGCACACACAAGCCGTAACCCACACACGGAACGATATACATATCTTTACCTAGTGTCTAGCGTAGCCATGCTACACTTTCTTCGCCATGTTACACTTTTTTTCTCATCTCCCAGCGTTTTGCCGTACGAAAAACTTGCCTTATCGCGCCAAATTGCTTATATGTCATCAAGAGGAAAGATTGAGATTTGCAGAGTTACACGAGTGCGGTAATTATTTGCGACAGGATTCATTCAGATCGAAGAAAAAAAATGTAATAACAACGCGCTCCTGCGGAGCTTCTCGAGGAAAACTCGGAGGAAAACTGTACGAAAATCATATAAAATCGCACGAAGAACCTGGCGCTTCTTGTAATCTACCAAGTTACGCAACAAAATAGCGGTAGTTACCTTGGCCAATGCAAATACGCGTCATCGTTGCTCGTCTTGCACGATTGTCACTGCAATTGGTATAGGCAAATCACACTCGCGACCATGAAGAATGCGCCTAGGTCTCGCAATCGATTAACTGTGCATTGAACAAAAACAGAAACATCGTAGAGTCATCGACTGTTCTCCTCTCGCGCAGCATCGTTTTAACTGTTGCATAAAAAATTGTTGTCTCGCGAAATCTATTTCGAAATTGGATCAAACATAATTATAGGACGGAAATAATAGCGACGTATATAGAACGCTTTTCATCCGATATAAATCTTTATAAATTTTTTCTTACGCTTATAATTAGCGATCAGATCCCCGCATCTGTTCGCTTTTATTTGTTTCTATTGTGTGAAAACATATGATGCAATAGCGCGATAAGATTTGGTCATCGACGGTACGAGTTAACCATTGTTGTCACTGTTTTAGATAACAGGAGTTATCGATACAATTATTTGTTAAATGCGTAAATAAATAAATTCATCGAAAAACGCGATATCGCGAATTGAAACGCAAGTGTGCGTATCTCCGCGCGATGGAAATTCCGCTTTAAATTCAAAGCTCCCTCCTTCCTCTCTTGTCTGAGATAAGGCTTATCGTTAACTGTAAATCTTATCGTGGCATTAGCATCGATCAAGAATCAGAAGTGAAACGAGCGTATTACCCAACTACTTGCGGCATCCTATGTCTATTTGATCACAAGACGTGCACTTTTGGCGTAGATTTCTGCTTGTCTCGTTTCTCTCCGATCGCCAATTTTTATTTTAGGCGCGATGACGATCGCAAGCATCGTTCGTTTTCCTCCGCGAGCGAGCATATGTAGCTTAGCGTCTAGTTTACGTTAAAAAGATATCAGTGAATCGTCAAAAGCGATAACGAGAAATGAAAACAGCTGCGCTAGCGCCGCTGATCTTCGCAAATGACACATTATATATGTGCATAAATATATGTATATAAATCATTTTATGTTAAAAAGGCATATTTCTATTAAACTCAATTTTCGGAAAAACGCAAATAATTTTTCCGCTTTTACATAAATGCAACATTACACAAATGCATGCAGCTAAATAGCGATACATAAAATGTTTAAAACACAGCTCGTATCAAATGACAGAGCTATTTAACATATTTGAAAAATTAATAAATGTAACAATTATGTCTTTTTAACATCGAAAATTTCATAGAAAATATTATTTTAGCAATAGTTCTTGGAATTGAAATTTTCTCGCTACATTTCGCGCAATATCACCGACGCAAAGATTGACGAATCGTGTATTTGCAAAACGATTTCTTTCGACGATGCTACACGAATGCGAAGTTATCATGCACGGCCGAAGGTTATAGGTTTTCACATTGTCTTACAGTTAAATCTGACCTGCGCCCTGCTATTACGCTATTACGATCGAGGGGCCTTTAAATGGGGCCCATGCTGCGCACGGCGGAATCACGTTGCTGCATAATGCACACACGTCCCATCGTGTTGCGCATACAGATGGACAAGGAACGCACGCATGCATGCACGCACGACGCACGCACGCACGCACGCACGCACGCACGCACGCACGTATGCACGCATGCATGCAGCCGTTGGCCCTGCTGCTGCTGACGCTCGTAGCTCGCTTATAGCTCGAGCGGTGCGACTTTCAAGCTATTTTGCACATGCGAAGAAATTAACGACGGATATAGGGGGATCGAAATACATGGACGAAAAAAAGATCGCCGTAAATGCGCAGCGTAAATTGCGTAGGAAAAATTTCGGGACTTACATTGATCAAATATCTTAAGCATCGCTTTCTTCAGCTGCATAATCGTGCCGGCCGTGGCGAATCGCCCGGATGAAAAGCAATAACGACATAAAGCTCGACCACTCGACTTTGCCTCGAACAGCCCCCCGCTCGACCTGTCCGATTCTGTCCATCATCGATAAGGCGAAACCTTCAAAGAGCCACTGACCGTCGACCGACAACAGGACGCTGCATCTCGCCGCACGACGCGGTCGTGGTCGCCCGGCGGCGAGTCGACATCCTCTCTTTCTTCTCTTTTCGCTTCCTCTAGGTCAATACGCGCGTGTTTGCGTGCGTGTATGTACACAATGCATTCGATTGGCACCGTGCGCGCACGCTACCACTACAGCGAGGAAGTCGTCGCACGTCGTCACTTCCGGCGGGCTAGAATCCGCACGATGAATGAACTCGTTCGCGTAATCGCTCCCACATACGACCTCTCGGGGCGAATTCTCTTCGATAACACCCACGTGGCCTCCGGAGCGAGCGTCGAAACCGAAAAAAAATAGCTGTCGGCCGGATCGGTTTAAAAAAAACAATCTCCGCCAATCGTGAGCGGCGAATTCACTGGTCTCGCCCTCGAAACTGATCACAATCCGCCTCGGTCACGTCTTATCGCACGTTCACGCGCGCAAGCGCTTCGTACACGAGTCACTCGACTCGCTTGCAACGAGAGATACGCGAAAAACCAGGAAGAAACTGCTTCGTTGCATTCACTTTTCGAGACAGTCTTTTTTCACACCGTTCGCGATCGCTTCGAGAATAGATTTCACGCGATCACAAGCACTATTGTAAAATTTGCAATTCCATTACGTTGTCTGGCTCCGTTGATTCAGCGATCAGAGTTCAGCATTGTGAGATTCGAAGCTTTACTAAAACACTTTATTTATTTATTTATTTTTTTTTTCAATTTGGAGCACAAACGCTCTCCGCCAACTTCTATCTCGCACCTTTGTAGAAATTACGTTAGCATTTCCTTATCATTTTATTTGCGCACAATTGCTTTCTTTTTTTTTTCGGGAAAATCACACTTTGAAACGGACCGTAAAACGACGAATCACAGTGATGCGCAAAATCCGCCGTTCTCAGTTGCGAGAGACGTTCGCGCGATGCACGGAGAATGCGCGTGGCGTTCTACACGCAAGTTTAGCTGCTACTGTTAAGAGCTCGGTCGAGTAGAGTCGAGTTCAGTCCAGTCGTGGTGTGGTGCGACGCGATGCGACGCTTCGAACCAGAAGAGAAGGGGAAGAGAGAAAGAAGGAGACACGCAAAGTTTCTAATTCCGATTAACATCACTCTGCACGCCTATTTTCAGTGCAAATCTAATTAACGGCCGTAAACCGAAATTCAACGGGGGGCGAGAAGCTTTTTTTTTTTACGGAGCACGTATGACCGAATGAAAAAAAAAGAAAAAGAGAGCGGGGTATCAACAGTGTGTAACACGATACGAATGACGAACCGAAATTCACCACGCACACATGCGTGCAACACTTGACAAACAAGTTATACACGTAGCAAAAAGTTTTGTCGATTGCGAGCCCAGATAAATATTGTTTATCTCGTTCCATTACCAACCGCGTATAATACGCTTGCATCGTCACATTCGTGCGATAACTACGCGCGTGTACGAACGCGTGTACCCGTGCACGCGTCATCAGATAGAAGGAGGGAGGAAAGCGGACAAAGAGAAAAAAAAGAAAGGGGACTGAAGAAGCATCCGTGCCAGCCAGATCTCGTTATACACTAAGTAATCGTCTTGCTCGTCCATTCTACTCGGAAGTCGGAATAAAAATATGGATAAATTTATCTAAGACGTCATGGACTTGGGATAGCGCACGCACTCGTTGTGAATCGCATTCCGCTCTTAAAGTTTCCGATCGCTCATTGCGACCATATTGGAGTACGTCAGAAGTGAAAAAAAAGTCGTGCATATTTTTTTCATAGATAAATTCTTTTCCTATGCAATTGCTCGCGTGACTAATCGGAAAGCTTAAAATTCATAGTCATGACGCTGAATTGTGATTGTTCACAATGTAAATGAATAAGAGCAACGTAAGAAGAGTAAAAAAATCAGCTTCGCCGTCGAGACAATGAGAATTGAACGTGAATATTCATGCTTTTTCTTCTTTCTTCAAAAAAGATCTTTCTATTTTACTCCGTTACGTGTGGACGCGTAAGCACGTGTACGCTGCGCCGTGCTGCGACGTACTGATGCATCGTCTCGCGTCGGATTATGCAACTGATGAGGTAGCATTCGTGGTATCGCACAGTATATCGAGATAACACCACTTGGTAGTTTAACGTCAGCATTAAGGACAAAGGACCGTCGACAAAACTACGAGAATTTTTCATGCAAAACTTATACGCGGTTTCTGATTCCCTCGCTGCGGCGATATCGAATTATCAGAAATAAGAAATCATGCAAATTTTTTCTCGCATTACGTGTCGAAATAAATTATTTCTCTCTTTTTCTTTTCTCGCATTAATCGATCGTATACTGTCATTTGATAGTTGGTCAAACGAATAGAATAAAAATTGCTGAAAACTGTCGAGTTTCTTAACACGCGCAGCGACTCTCAGAAAGATAATATTTAACTAATCATCGCGAGCCGATTCAATATTTTTTCGCACTTCGAACACTCGCTTCGAGCAAGCTGTTATAACGGAATCGCTATACAGCATTGGCTGCACAGCTCACGACACAGACGGATTTCTCTTCACGGATGATACATTTTGCGACGGTTGCCTCGCGAGAGGCAACGGTCGAGACTCTCTAACCGCTTTGAAATTCGCTAAGGAATTTATCTTCACATTCGTATTATCACGCTGTAAATTCCTCCTTTTTATATCGTGGAATAAATTTCTAATTCGGCGATAACTAATCGCACAACTTATGAGAATTATAAATTAAAATGCTTAATCATGCTAATTTTTCAATAAATTTTCCTTTTGCTGCTTTCGATTTTTAGAAATAGTTTGTTCGCAATTCTTCCGATTATTCGCTTAATAATAAAATTCAACATAAATATTTATGCACTTATTGCAATCTGATTCGAGTTAGCTATTTTAATTGTTTCTTTTTTTATCTTTTCTATTCATTTCTGATAATTTATTAATTGAAATTTTGACATACATTCTAACGTAAGAAAATCCTATCGCGATATGTACATGATATCAGTTTTGGAAATAATGCGATAACATCGGTAACGTAATATATCGCTGTGATCTTAACCGATTTTTTAGATGATACAGCGTTTGTCGTTATCCAAGTTTATGCCGTCCTCGACATTGATACGCTCGCCAATGCCAATGACAATCCATTATGCTGTCTATGCCTACGTTGACGAGAGGTAATGTTTTCGAACATTTCCTTCATCTTTCGTTCTCTCCGTCTTTAACTCAGCCTGAGAGACGTGAAACGTCAGACTTTGCGAGAGCGGAAGGCCGCAACCTTCGTAAATTAGCCGCATCCTAATTGATGTATCCGTTCGAGCACTTTCCGCTCCGCGCTAAGACGCGCTGCCTATTGCGAGAGTAATCGTGAGATAAATCGGATTCGCTCAGACGTCGAAAATAGCTTTTTCGAAATGATTAAAACGTTAACTAAGCAGGCGGAGATTTGTCGGAAGCATTAATGAAACGAATGAGGAAGCTTATGCGGTGTTACTGCGTTATTTGTCACAGAAAGTAAGAGAAACAGAGAAAGAAAAAGCTGCGATGAAGATTCAAGCTTAGGCGTGCTGGGTCAATAAGTCTGGGTCAAACGAGCATGTGACTCGTATCGAATTAGCTCGTCGCACTGAAATTGACCTCCAGGTTAATTCCATGATCTGCGTTTGTACACTGCGCACGTTTACATTACACGTGTACCAGTATACCATACGTAACGTGTACAGTTCGCAACTTTAGTCTGTTTTGAGCAGCATGAAAAAAATACGTGGTGAGGAAGAAAATAAAAATACGTAGCAATCCGTTAAATAATATCGCAACATTCCAAGCTTTGTTAAAACGATATTATGAAAGGCTCGCGGAGATCGGCACGCGTGCGAAACTTGAACCGATTTGGCGATTTGATTATGATTCTCCAAATGATAGCTTTTCAAGATAACCATCAACTTTTTACTTTTCACTTCTAAATTCTTCAAATTATTATACGTACACGGAAAGAAACACTTTTGCTGAAAGATCTGAAAATTGTGCCAGATACAGATCTAAAAATAAATTTTGTTGGAAATTCGAAATTTATCAAGCACTCGATTTTGATTGATGGGTCGTCAAAACTTTTTACGATATGAAAAAGATCGAGTGCTCTATTGGTAAATTTTGATAGTCCAACGAAATTTATTTTCATATCTGTATCTGGTACAATTTTTAGATCTTTCAGCAAAAATATTCTTTCCGTGTATCAATTCTTAATTGCGTATCATGTATTTTTAGAATTAATTAAAAGCGACTTTTTAAGTTCTCCATTTTCTTTTCAATTATTATAACATGCCGTTTGTTGACGGGATCGGGAAGAAGCGATATCGGTTGGAAATCGCCGGGAGCAAATGTCAAAGAAGTAAAGAACTTACCCGGTTTCCTGCGGGAGCTCCAAAGTACGGGAGGATGCGCGGATGCGGCGATGGCAGCGGCGGGAGTACCGCCGGAGGCAGCCAGCTTGACTGCGTTCCGCGAACCTGCAAATCACCCGAAACTTTTTAAAACAAATTCAGAACATTCGTACTTTTATTTTTGCTAATATAAATCCAAGGGGAAAAAATCAGACAGAAAGCAATGCCGAATGACATTTGTTATGTTCTCAGCAAAATTACACGCTAAATTGATTTGTACAGTTATGGAAGATAGAATGAGCTGCATAACAAATATGTTAGAGGATAATTACACAGAACGTCCGGTAACAATCGGAAACTGCATTCTGCGGAGAAAAACAAATAAAAAATGTAGAATAAAATTTTTTCGAGGACGGTGAAAATTATTGAATTTACAAAAAAAATAAAGCCTTGAAAAAAATTTATCGTACTTTTTTCTCCATGTAGAATCAGTGTCTTTTTTCGGGTGTAGCGCCAGTTACAGGACACTGTACAATTAATCAAGAATTAAGGGGAGATCTTGTAACGCGATATCTCGAGAGCGTTGATCCACGGCATGCAGAATCAAGACAGGACACTGCTGTCATGGAGAAGGGAACAGGGGATTGGACATTATCGATGGTTCATTAAAGCGGGTACAACGCGAAGCAACACGATGCTTTGCTCGGTATTCGGTTTCGCTGTCGCGCATGATAAAGCGACGTGCATCGTTCGCGCAATGACATTGAATCATCGCGCTTGGGGGAGTTTTGTCTACAGTTAGACAAATTAATTTTTCATCTTTATAAAGCTCGTGTCTCCTGTTTCTATATTTAACACTTCATTTTTAAGTGCACAATTTGCTTGAAAATTGTCTTTTGAACAAGGGACTGTTCTAAAACTGCCTGAGATCATTTACCCGACACTTTTTGCACCGAGACGCGCTCGTCAAAGTTGCAAGATCCATCCGGTTGCTCTTCAACTTCAGGACTGGATGAGGTGGCGCATTTGTAGGTGCACGAACAGAATAGCCATCTCTTGCTGTCGCGATTCGCCAAGTAACGACACTGTCGTCTACTGATAGCCATTTTGAGGACGAGCGAGCGGAATGACGAGTAAAGTAACACGCGCGACATGTACTCAAGGATTCGCCAAATCGAGGAATGAAACGAAATCAGGTACATCTGCCGTACGTGATTAGCCTTGGCGGCGCGATTGGTAGCAGGGGAAAACAATATGCGTGCTTCGGCACGATTCTTCATACAGCTATACCCATATCCGCTACTTTCTATATATCCTTTGGTCGATATCGACCTCGTCTCTAACGACGCGTTCGACGATCGTTAACCAATACGATCGCCAACCGATACGTGCATTAAACTTCCGGTCCTCGCGTACTCATCGACTTAATGGCTATGTCGCGCGCTACCCCGGCCTTGCCGCGCCTTGCCCACGCTCTCACTTGAAACGCTATTTTTGGTGTCACTTTGGGACGACTAACCGTTTCGATTACGCAAAAGGACGATAAGGCGATTGTATCTAATATAAAACGCCCTTGAATTACCATATATATTGGAAAAAACCTGCCAACTTGCCTGTTACGATAGGCGTAATGATATTTTTTTTTCCACAACGCAATATTGCAATTTTATTATTAGTTCCTCGTCCAAATTTCGATCAATATTCTTCGTTAAATTTTTTTATTGATTGTTATTTTATTGTTATTCTTGTTCATCGTCGTATTTTTTCTCTACAACGTAGTATTGCAATTTTATTATTTAGT